GGGTCACTGGTCTAGCGTTAAAGTGGATCAGGTCGTACTTATCAAACCGACATCAGTCAGTGTGTATTAATGGAACAATTTCGGATAAGGAAGAACTTCAATTTGGAGTGCCTCAAGGGTCAGTCCTCGGTCCGATTCTGTTACTCATTTATATATCACCACTTGGAGACATAGCCCGATCACACAACCTTGCTTTTCACTTGTACGCAGATGATACCCAACTCTACCTAGGTTTCAAGCCTCTGCAGCATGTTGGGCAATTCAAAAATGGATGACCAGACATTTCCTGAAGCTGAATCAAGACAAAACAGAAATGCTCCTTCTCTGTTCAAGTTCAACACGACAAAGGTTGTATTCAATAACACTCGAAATTAATGAGTGTATCATTGAACCCACTGATCATGCTCGCAATCTTGGGGTGATATTTGACAGCACTATTAGCCTTGAAAAGCACGTCAATAAAATGTGCAAGAATGCCTACTATTTCATCCGCAACATAGGCTTAATCAGGAAGTACATCAACCAGCAAACTGCTGCAACATTGATGCAAGCATATGTAGTATCTCGCTTGGACTATTGCAATGCTCTGCTGCAGGGGATTCCAGAATATCTTCTGAGCAAGTTACAGAGAGTCCAGAACTCAGCTGCCCGAGTTGTGACACGCACAAAGTAGACAGAGCATATAACACCTGTTCTGATGACATTGCACTGGTTACCCATCCGACAACGTATCCATTACAAAATATTGGTATTGATGTTCAAAGCCTTGCACAACACGGCACCAGTTTATCTCTCAGACCTTGTGCAAGAATATCAACCAACACGCCATCTGAGGTCATCACAACAACACATGTGCCAGACTGTAGTCAGCCGGACCAAGACATTTGGTGAAAGGTCTTTTCGGGTTGTCGGCCCAGCTTTGTGGAACAAATTACCCCTCTCTCTTCGATCAGTACAGACATTCAGTACTTTCAAATCCAGATTAAAAACTCATTTGTTCAGCATTGCATACGGAGTTCAGCAGCGCTCTTGAGCAGTCTTCTCAAGACTGGATATTAGCGCTATATAAATGTATATCAATGTAATAGCTGGAATATTGCTGAGTGTGGCGTAAAACTGAACTCATTCACTCACTCTAAGGACACTGTACTCAAATTCAGGTGGTAATGCTTTATTATACCCAAGGCATCAGCCCATATACACCAGTCGTACAATATATACATGTTACATCATGTACAGGCTGTGAATAGTCAGCAAAGTGGCACGAGCGAGTGAGTATGTTTTTACGATATCATGGCAGGGGACACCAGAAATGGGGATTCATACACAAAGTGGCAAGATGTAATATTAATCTGTTAGTTTTACTCACAGTTTGACACCCATAAAGGTCCGGGTTAGAATTGGTGTTCAGCAACCCATGCTTGTCCTAAGACAGGATGGGCGGTCGGGCTCACTTGGTTGACAACATGTCATCCGATCCTGTTTGGTCCAGACTCAGTTATTTGTAGACGGGAATATTGCTGAATGCAGCGTTAACCAACAAGCAAACAACCCAAACGAATATGACTTCACAAAGTGGCATGAATTAAAGTTAATCTGTTAGTTTTACCCACAGTTTGTTGCCTAAAGCTCTAAAATTGTTGTTTGTTTGTTCTCCAATGCCCTATTCATCAATATGACAGCAGTCTGTAAATAATCGAGTCTGGACCAGACAAGCCAGTGATTGATATCATGAGCATCGATATGAGCAGTTGGGGCACTATGACATGACTGCCAATCCATCCGATCTAACACTTAGGTTTAAGTGACTTAGAACACCCTGGTTTTCAGCCGACATGGGTTGCTGAAGACCAGTTCCTATCTGGATCTTCATTAGTCCTTTCCATGTATACAGACCAGTGTTCTGATTGTATAACCATGGGACCTACAAAGACAGTATTTACTTGCCCATACACTACTGACAATGACATGCGACTCAAACAACTGTCTGTTCCAGCTGTAGTTTTGTTTTGTTTTTCTTATTTACAATTTTCTGTTTTAAATCATGTTTGACACATTTTGACGAATAGAAAATTGAAAATAATAAATATCAGTGTCAAGTTTTGATCATCCTTAAAAAAAATTCTTGAACTGTCAGATGGGGAATGGCTAATCCACTGTAATTTAGAGTTGAGTTGAGTTTTACGCAGCACTCAGCAATTTTTCAGCTATATGGCGGCTGTAATTTAGAGGTCAGCCTTGGCAGTATATGTCCAACTGGTCAAACATCCCACCTCAGAAACACTGATTGGTTAACTTCATGAGACATGATTAACAGGTGAGTTCATCCAACAGCAAATAAAATTGATATATTGATATATTGCAAACTGATTTCATATACATGTACTGTACATACGTATATTTGGATGGATATTTCATGTGGCAATAAATATGGACTTCTAAAGAAAACAATGTGAAAAGTTGCTAATATCTAAAAAACTGAAAAAATATAGTAAAAACAGTCATGTATGTCATAAAACAAAAAAAAGAACCAGCAGAATTAATTTACCATATAAAATAACGCATACTACTCAAAATAAGCTAAACACAAGATTTTTATACACTATAGGCTGGTGAGTATTTCAACAGACAGTCTTCGATTTGTAGGTGTTGCTAAACATGTTTTGAGCAGTATACCTGCACACCATCTGACAAAACTGTACCATGTATGTATATTCATATATTAATTTAAATGAACCCATAATTTGTCTCACTTGCTCTTTTTACACATCCAGGTAAAACTGGATAGGTATTATTTTTGTTTCAGAGAAACAAACTTAATTATATATTTTAATCAGCATTCCCTTTTTATTGCCAGTATGATTGTACTTTATTAGCTGTAAGTCCCCAAAACACAAGGATTCAAAGATAACATGCTTTGTTGATTAGAAAAGGAGCATCAATCTGAAATGATGCATTACAGGGTAACAGTCTTTAGGGACTAATCATAATTTATGGCTGGGGGGTGATGATGATATTTTGTACACATGTACAGGGGGGTGGTGTGGTGTTGTCAGCAATTCTGTACATAAAAATATTTTAAAAGTATGCTTAAAAATTATAGGAAGGGGAGGGGGGCTGATTGATTTTGTACAAGATGCAGGGGGGTCACTTACTTTGTACATAAAATTTAGAGGGGGTGTCATTCAAATTGTATATGCTTCTCCATAAAAATCATCATCTACCACCAAGCCCATAAATTATGAACGGTCCCTTAGCTGTGCACTGTAGTATTCAGTACAGCCATTTTAGGATTTGTATGAACATCACCATTTTTCAGATATTTTTAAAATAATATCAACTCAAAAATATTGAAGTTTTAAGCTGATATCACTAAAATGAGATCTTTGTGCTTATTACTGCTGACAAAATGGCAGCAATTGAGTGACCGCTACGATCTTCTTTTAATGAGACTGATCATTAGCTTGTGTCTTCTTTCTGCATGAAGATGTATCCTATTGGGATATATGTGTATGTATATCATTCCGTGACTTTGCGTATTGTCACAAGCCTAGTGATTTGTTTACTTGTGATGGAATATTTCTGCTGGGACATTGTGCAGTCAACCTGTATCAATATTAAGGCTAGTGTTCATACACACAGACTTAGCATTAAGGCTGTGGGAAGCAAGTTAAAGTTATCTATCTGTGGGAAGCAAGTTAGAGTTTGGGTCTTATGTTCATCTTTGCACTGAAATCATTTTGTACAAGTGAATCCAGGTAAGTTGAAATGTACATAATATATGCAATACTTATGCTGAAGGGGTCGTTGTCGGCACCAAAATGGTATACAGAAACGTACCCTGGCCATAATGAGAATACAGAAACGTACCCTAGGACGATTCCATTCCCATTGTGTCGTATTCTTGATCGGAACTGTCATACTGTTGTATTAGATACATTTGATTGCGTTATGTAAGTAATGAGAATTCACAGTAACGGATATTCGCGATATGAATGCTACTGGAATCAGTTGCATGGGAACAAATACATACGGTTTCAGTTTTCGATTGCTGAATATGGACTTGTCCGCCTTTTAGGGTACCGGGTACGTTTCTGTATTCTGACTTTGTTTAGGGTACATATCAGTATACAGAAATGTACCTAGGGTACGTATCTGTAGTACTTGTGCCGACAACGACCTCTTCAGCAATACTTATTACTAAGTGCAACTATTACAATTATTGATACTTATTAAATCTCTGAATGATACTACTGGTAATTTTAGCTTCCTATACAGGACTATCATAGTGCAAAAAATTTACATGGTTTGACTGCTCAGTACATCATTACACTCCTCACAAAGATGTACGAAGGTCTGTCCTAGAAATAGTTCTGAACCATTAATCTCATATTTCAATTTGTTTGCTTCTGAAACATGGAATCAAAGCGAAATCAAAATACCATGATCACAATGTTTCAGTCATACACAAGCATTAAGTTTCAGATGCTGGTGTTACTGAGCATTTCATGTCAGGGAATTTCCGTATGAACCAACGACATTAGAAGTTTCAAGTGTTATAATTAATCTGCATCTCTACATCTGAGTCAGTGAGGTTTATGCTGCTGTTAGCAATATTCCAGCAATATCACGGTGGGGGGACATCAGAAATGGGCTTCACTCATTGTACCTATGTGGGAAATCAAACCCGGGTCTTCGGCGTGACAAGCTAACGCTTTAACCACTAGGCTACCCCACCATCCATCTTCACATCCAAAAACACTTAATTTACTGTCAATGTTAATATGGTCATGTATCTTCCTTAGCACTGACTGTTGGACAACTCCAGTACTAGTGAAACATCCCTCATCCCTCATACCTCATACCTCTATATCAAACATCCATCATACCTCTATATGCGGTACATGCTGGACGGTGACATCCTCTGTTTCATTGACAACTGAACAACATGCACAGTAAACTCCACAAAACATAGTTGAACATATAACATATTGTCAAAATACAATGAATACAACATTTATGTTAAATATCAAACACAGTTTGAGGACCTTAAGATTGATATCTACGAAGAAAAGTATTTGTATGCATTCAAAACATCCAAGCTTCGCACCTCATTAAACATTTTTAAGAGAATACATCATTTGACCATGAAAATCATTTCTTCATATTTGCAAACCTCATGAAATCAAATGCTTATACAACATTTTGAACGTTTTGGCCCTTGTTCTGCCATACTATGCTTTACCTGATGATTGTGCAACAACAAGTCAGACCTTCCAACATGTGACATGTATGAAGGACATTTTGAATTTGAGTGTTCGAGAACTCCTAATCACTGAAGTCCCAAAATGGATTAAATATTGACAACAAAACAAATTCATATTTCCACTTATGAAAATTCACATCACTTACTATCAACAGCCACATTTCTCCCTAACTCAAGCACAATATCGTATTCCCTAATTATCAAAAGCGTCCCATACCAAAGAGCACCCCTTAACTATCTTCTGCATCCATTTGTGATTACCAGTAATGTTCATATGTAGGCTCTGAAATTGACATGACAGTCTGTATTTTGTTGTGTACTCTCTTTTATTTTTTACAGAAAAGACATCAGTATAAGACTACTTAATTGCATAGTAACTATATTATAGAAACATTTGAATTTTAATTATCTTGTGTGTGCTTTTCATCAGTTTCCCTATAGTCACTGCTATTAGTGCCTAGGAAGATTATGGTGATTACAGTAATCAGACAAACAAGGTGATGTGAATCAATCAGCAACTGATGAAGGACTGATAATTTCCATAAACAAGATCAGTACAGATATACTTTCAAAACCTTGAAGCATGTGAGAAACAAGCGTGTTTCTCCTCCAGCAGCAGTTGAAAACACAATTCACATTACAATCTTGTTATAGTTTCATAAGTTCATCTATTGGACTTCATCCTTATTCACACAATCACAGAATCAAACACCATCCTGATGTCTCTGATAAGCAGAATCCTAGGGAGATGTGGTACCCTCAATTTAGGGGGACATATTAATGGATTTTTTCTAAACATGTTAAATTAATCGCCATTTGTTTCTTCAATCAACATGCACTTTGGATCAAAACAAATGGAAAAATATTTCATTAACAGAGATAATACTCTCAGTATTTTTCATTTCCTTACACTTATCAAAGACCATATACTGAAGGATGAGTTTGGGAGCCAATTACAATTTGCGCAAAACAAGCATTACTTGTCAAATGGCTGTGCATAATCAGGGTATGAAACTCCCAAACATTTCAGCCAGACCTGCCAGTCCTCACCAAAACCAGAGACCATATAATAGACTATTATATGGTCTCTGCCAAAACTTAAACTTACCTGCCCACAAAAAATACTAATTTACTTATTTATTCAATTTTTACGAGTGAAATCATAATTATTTATTACGCTGAAACATGATGAATATCTTTATATACATGTCTAAATTTTAACCCGACTGTCGGTCAGGTGGATTTGAGATTCTGACAGTCCGTGTTGAAGATAACCCATCCCATGCGGTCAGGCAGGCGGGTATTTCGAACGTTAGCATAATCTGTAAGATTCGAAATTCATATATGAGATCATTTACAGAGTTTATTTAATCAACTATTTCATCCACCATAAGTTATGTTACTTTTCTTGATTCTATTAAGAATGGCAAACATTTATCACAAATATGTTCAAACTTTACTGAGCTTATATTCATGATAATTGTCAAAGAAAGAAAACTGCATTATCAAGGACTCTCCCTGTTGTTTTTCACTGTAGGTTAATAAATGACATCCTTGAAATCTGGAAAGTATCATTAATAATCATAATACTACCTACATTGTAGAGTTTTATCTGTGGTAATTATTGACATCCTAACTTTCATTTGATGGACAGTTGTGACATCAAAAGTTTCACTAATCATTAAACAACACAGATAATGGAGGCAGTAAGCGGGCAAACAGCACCAATTCTTTCAAATACTGTGTAACAATAAACACGATGAGGGAGTGATGATGAAGACCATCTCTGCAGCTTGCACTTCTTTCTTTTGAAATCATTTCATGTGGCACAGTAGGCCCATCCTGGATGATCCACAGTATTAGGATTATTGATAATCCAGCTATCTCCATGCTGTTATGAATACAAATACATTGTACCATACTTAGGACCAAGTGTCCTTCATTGTATTTCCATTGTATTATGAGAAATACTTTGGACCAAGTTACCATGATAGATTCATTTTTTGAGTCGACATGACAAAATATTACATCTGAACAAATTACATGGTTCTTTCAGATTAAAAGAAGGGGTGATATAAACTAAACATCGACTCATTATGTTTCCGGTCATCTTCAATACAACTTGAACCATCACAGACATCTTACACCAAATTTAAGAATCCTCCCCCAGTCTTCTGGTGAGAGACCTTGTTTTCATTATTGGGTTCTTGCTGTAATGAGGCAGCTATGTCAACCTTAATTCAGGAGGACTTTTCTGATTGGTGGTTGACTCCAATTTCATGAGTGTCAATAATGGAAGAAAAAGAGACCTTGACCTTGATGCCACTTCCAAAACATAGATATGGTCGCAAATGGGTATTACTCCAAACAGAATGGAGATAAATAATCTGGATAATCGAGGTTGGTATTGAACAGAAGATCAACCAACTATAAGTCTTGGATTACTTTCTCTATCAGTTCCTGCCTTGTACACATCATCAGATCCCACCCTCTCATTTCAACCTCTGATTCACACACAATCCAAACATCACATGTCCACTCCCCACAGACAGCACTTTAAAAACAACAAGCAGATTACTCAGTGCAAGTCAATGAAAGGAACAAGCTGGTCCTGCTGTATCCGAGTGAGGAGCTGTGTGTGTAGACTGTCATCAAGAAGACTCCTCCACTCGTAACTGGGGTTCTTTATCTGGGGCATCTGGTCACTCCCCATACCGTCATATGTATACACAATTGTGTAACACACACCGTCATCTTCACCTTTAGGCATCCCACAATGCTCCACAGACAACAAACCACACGCCTTTGGGACTTCCACTGCCTTGCCTAAGGCACTCTGAAATAGGAAATTTATCATAACATGTATTTGAAGTCATGAGCATTCTTGCTTATAAGGCAAGTCTGTGAGTGAGGAAGTATAGTTCTATGCTTCTTTAAGCATCATTCCAGCAATATCACAACACACGACAACAGATTGATTGAGGTTAGTTTTCCAGCAATATCATGACAGGGGACACCAGAAATGATCTTCACACATTTTACCCATGTGAGGAATCAAACCCTTTGGCTGATGAGTGAACGCTTTAACCACTAGGCTACCCCATCGCCTTATATGATAACAGAAATGCGTTTTGCACATTTCACCCATTTGGCGTATCAAACTCAGGCTTTCAGCATGATCGGCATACACTTGAACCACTAGGCTACTCCCTTCCTGAAAGCCAATCAGGAGCATAAGGCAGCGCTGATCATCTCCCTGGAGACTGATCTGATACTTTATCATAAACTCAAACATGAACACAGTTCATCCTAATTGCTCAGAAATTTAGAAAGCAAAGCATAATTTCCAGGGCCCGTTTTACAAAGTTGCAATAAAGCTAAGTTAGAGTGTGGGAGTTACAGTTATGTTGAATCAGACACTTTGTGGAATACGGCCTATATCCTCCTTCTACATTGGACCTGTGAGGATCCGGGTTAGAACTGGTCCTCAGTAACCGATGCTTGTCATAAGATGCGACAAACAGGATTGGGTGGTCAGACTCAATAACTTGGTTGAGACATGTCATCGTGTATCCCGATTACGCTGATTGATGCTCATGATGTTGGTCAGTGGATTGTCTGGTTCAGACTTGATTATTTACAGACCACTGCCATATAGCTGGAATATTGCTGAGTGGGGTGTGAAACAACAGTCAACCAATTAATCCTTCTACATTGGACAACACTGATGAATCAAAGTTTCCCCAACAAGGTTAACTGAGCCATGGTGCAAGACAATGTGAAACAATTCATCTGACTGCTTACCTTTACAACCCTCTTACAACATGCAGACACCATTCATCTGACAGCTTACCTTCACAACCCCCTTACAACATGCAGACACCATTCATCTGACAGCTTACCTTCACAACCCTCTACAACATGCAGACACCATTCATCTGACTGCTTACCTTCACAACCCCCTTACAACATGCAGACACCATTCATCTGACAGCTTACCTTCACAACCCCCTTACAACATGCAGACACCATTCATCTGACTGCTTACCTTCACAACCCTTACAACATGCAGACACCATTCATCTGACTGCTTACCTTCACAACCCTCTTACAACATGCACCTTCACAACCCTCTTACAACATGCACTTTACCATTCATCTGACAGCTTACCTTCACAACCCCTTACAACATGCAGACACCATTCATCAGACAGCTTACCTTCACAACCCTCTTACAACATGCAGACACCATTCATCTGACTGCTTACCTTCACAACCTCTTACAACATGCAGACACCATTCATCTGACTGCTTACCTTCACAACCCCCTTACAACATGCAGACACCATTCATCTGACTGCTTACCTTCACAACCCTCTTACAACATGCAGACACCATTCATCTGACTGCTTACCTTCACAACCCCCTTACAACATGCAGACACCATTCACCTGACTGCTTACCTTCACAACCCTCTTACAACATGCAGACACCATTCATCTGACAGCTTACCTTCACAACCCCTTACAACATGCAGACACCATTCATCTGACAGCTTACCTTCACAACTCTCTTACAACATGCAGACACCTTTCACCTGACTGCTTACCTTCACAACCCCCTTACAACATGCAGACACCATTCATCTGACTGCTTACCTTCACAACCCCTTACAACATGCAGACACCATTCATCTGACAGCTTACCTTCACAACCTCTTACAACATGCAGACACCATTCATCTGACAGCTTACCTTCACAACTCTCTTACAACATGCAGACACCATTCATCTGACAGTCTTACCTTCACAACCCTCTTACAACATGCAGACACCATTCATCTGACTGCTTACCTTCACAACCCCTTACAACATGCAGACACCATTCATCTGACACCTTCACATGCAGACACCATTCATCTGACTGCTTACCTTCACTTCACAACCTCTTACAACATGCAGACACCATTCATCTGACTGCTTACCTTCACAACCCTCTTACAACATGCAGACACCATTCATCTGACTGCTTACCTTCACAACCCTCTTACAACATGCAGACACCATTCATCTGACTGCTTACCTTCACAACCCTCTTACAACATGCAGACACCATTCATCTGACAGCTTACCTTCACAACCCCTTACAACATGCAGACACCATTCATCTGACTGCTTACCTTCACAACCTCTTACAACATGCAGACACCATTCATCTGACAGCTTACCTTCACAACCCTTACAACATGCAGACACCATTCATCTGACAGCTTACCTTCACAACCCTCTTACAACATGCAGACACCATTCATCTGACTGCTTACTTTCACAACCCTCTTACAACATGCAGACACCATTCATCTGACAGCTTACCTTCACAACCCTCTTACAACATGCAGACACCATTCATCTGACGGCTTACCTTCACAACCCCCTTACAACATGCAGACACCATTCATCTGACTGCTTACCTTCACAACCCTCTTACAACATGCAGACACCATTCATCTGACAGCTTACCTTCACAACCCCTTACAACATGCAGACACCATTCATCTGACTGCTTACCTTCACAACTCTCTTACAACATGCAGACACCATTCACCTGACTGCTTACCTTCACAACCCCCTTACAACATGCAGACACCATTCATCTGACTGCTTACCTTCACAACCCTCTTACAACATGCAGACACTGCTCTGTCACGGGGGGCAATCATCCCACTTGGGAAGTGAGCACCATTCTTTGTGTTGATCAAAAGTTGTTCCTTTCTGAAAACAAAACCAACAACCCTTACTAGGCATATATATAAGAAACCATCACTGATTCCATGCAGGTTCTAATGCAGGCGCTCGTACCCATAATCAACAGGTCCTAATACAGGTGCCCACACCCCTAGTGTACAGGTCCTAATACAGGTGCCCACACCCCTAGTGTACAGGTCCTAATACAGGTGCCCACACCCCTAGTGTACAGATCCTAATACAGGTGCCCACACCCTAGTGTACAGATCCTAATACAGGTGCCCACACCCTAGTGTACAGGTCCTAATACAGGTGCCCACACCCCTAGTGTACAGGTCCTAATACAGGTGCCCACACCCCTAGTGTACAGATCCTAATACAGGTGCCCACACCCCTAGTGTACAGAGGTCCTAATATAGGGTGCCCACACCCTAGTCTACAGATCCTACTACAGGTGCCCACACCCTAGTGTACATGTCCTAATAAAGGTGCCCACACCCTAGTGTACAGATCCTAATACAGGTGCCCACACCCCTAGTGTACAGATCCTAATACAGGTGCCCACACCCCTAGTGTACAGGTCCTAATACAGGTGCCCACACCCCTAGTGTACAGGTCCTAATACAGGTGCCCACACCCCTAGTGTACAGGTCCTAATACAGGTGCCCACACCCCTAGTGTACAGGTCCTAATACAGGTGCCCACACCCCTAGTGTACAGATCCTAATACAGGTGCCCACACCCCTAGTGTACAGGTCCTAATACAGGTGCCCACACCCCTAGTGTACAGATCCTAATACAGGTGCCCACACCCACACCCTAGTGTGTACAGGTCCTAATACAGGTGCCCACACCCCTAGTCCTAATGCAGGTCCCAATACAGGTGCCCACACCCCTAGTGTACAGGTCCTAATACAGGTGCCCACACCCCTAGTGTACAGGTCCTAATACAGGTGCCCACACCCCTAGTGTACAGATCCTAATACAGGTGCCCACACCCCTAGTGTACAGGTCCTAATACAGGTGCCCACACCCCTAGTGTACAGATCCTAATACAGGTGCCCACACCCCTAGTGTACAGATCCTAATACAGGTGCCCACACCCCTAGTGTACAGATCCTAATACAGGTGCCCACACCCCTAGTGTACAGATCCTAATACAGGTGCCCACACCCTAGTGTACAGATCCTAATACAGGTGCCCACACCCCTAGTGTACAGGTCCTAATACAGGTGCCCACACCCTAGTGAACAGATCCTCAATACAGGTGCCCACACCCCTAGTGTGCAGGTCCTAATACAGGTGGTCACATCCCAGTTGAGTGATGCTCCTTAGACCACTGTCAGGCATCTGTAGAGGTTACATATTTCTAAAAATTAAATTAGCTGACAGTACCGGCCATTCAGTTTGAAGACAATAACAAGTCTGAGGATCATGATGGCGTGGTCATGTATAGCAGGAAGGGTGGCTGGATGACGAGCTCCTTCACTTGCTGCACAGTAGTTCTGGGTACATTTGATCAGCTTTAGAATGTCAAAGGACCTGAAATTCCATGAATATTCATTAGATTCATTCACTAAGGGACCGTTCATAATTTATGGCTAGGGGGTGATGATCATTTTAAGGGGGTCACCTATTTTGTTCTGGGGAGCTAGAGGGGGTCAGCAGTTTTGTACACACGTACTACGGGGGTCAGCAATTTTGTACATAAAATATGTTTAAAATTATGCTTAGAAATTATGGGAAGGGGAGGGGGGGTCCATTGACTTTTGTACATGACATGCAAAGGGGGTCACTTATTTTGTACATAAAGGGGGGGTCATTCACATTGCTTCTCCATAAAAATCATCACCACCACCCTTAGCAATAAATTATGAATGGTCCCTAAACAGTGACTTTTCCTTTCTCAACACACAGTTGTCATTGGATCATAAATGTTAATTAACTAAATAATCAGTTATATGCATTCAAGGCGTATATGAAGTGTTCAATCTCTTATATGCTTCTGAAAAAAAACCATAAAACAAACACTATTCACCCATGCAAGTTTTCATCAGCTTGCATTCTAATTACTTGAGTGATGAAAACCTAAGTTCTATGATGATCACTTGCTTGATAACGGTGTTAGTACCTACACCGAAATGTCGCACTCATTGCAATAAAGAAGTTGACTATCCATAGGACTTAGTTTTCCTTCATCTTCACAACTTCTAAAATGCCTCTCAAAGAAGTGTGATATATTCGTCTGTGTTCCACCACCTTGTCTTACCTCAACGGCGTCTCCGAGCTCTTGATGGTGTCCATGCTCATCCAGCAACCTTGTAAGGATTCAGAATCCTTCTCCTTGGTTGACTTCAGCTTGCCACCTGGATGAGCAGAACAGCAGAACATTAACAGCAGAGAAGCAGGTCATTAACAGATTAACACCTCATCGCCTGGTTAACAGAACAGTAGCTCAGCAGATCAACAGAAAAGCATCTCATCAACAGAACAGAGGCTCATCAACAGAAAGGCAGCTAATTGACAGAACAGCATTTCTCAACAGAAAGGCAGCTAATTGACAGAACAGCATTTCTCAACAGAAAGGCAGCTAATTGACAGAACAGCATTTCTCAACAGAAAGGCAGCTAACTGACAGAACAGCATTTCCCAACAGAAAGGCAGCTAATTGACAGAACAGCATTTCTCAACAGAAAGGGCAGCTAATTGACAGAACAGCATTTCTCAACAGAAAGGGCAGCTAATTGACAGAACAGCATTTCTCAACAGAAAGGGCAGCTAATTGACAGAACAGCATTTCTCAACAGAAAGGCAGCCGAACACCAGCATGTCAAAAGAACAACATTATAACAGCTTATTAACAGAACAGGAGTCATGAATAGAACAGAAGGTAATTACCTGAAATGCTGATCAGCAAAATAGCATCTCATTAACAGAAAAGCAGCTAATCAACAGACCAGCATTTCTCAAAATATGCAAAAAGAGAATAACAAGAAGACAAAGTCATCAATATCCCCCGCAATGGCAAAATAATCTCTTCATGATTATGTCTACGAGTTATGATTATGTCAAATATTTAGGTGTGTACATAGAAAAGTGGAAGGAGAGTATTGAAAGGTTTTTAAAGTTCTGCTCCAGAAAGGAGCACGATCACCAGTTTCAGTCTATGTCAAACTTGTTGCCATGGAAATGCCAAAAATATTTATTCAGAAATCCAAAACTACCAAAAGGCACCAGTACACCACCAGATCTATGTACCGGTATGTGCCAAGTTTGGTGAAGAAACATTGAAGGGTTTTAGAGTTCTGCTCCGGAAAAGTGCACAACCACTAATTTCTGTTTTAGTCAAACTTGTTGCAATGGAAATGCCAAAGATATTTTATTCAGAATTCCAAAACTACCAAAAAGGAACCAGTAAACCACCAGACCAATCCATGTGTCAAGTTTGGTGAAAAAATAGTGAACGGTTTTAGAGTTCAGCTCCGGAAACGAGCACCACCACCAATTTCAGGCTAAGTCAAACTTGTTGCCATGGAAACGCCAAAAATATTTTATTCAGAATTCCAAAACTACCAAAAGGCACCAGTACACCACCAGACCAATCTATGTGCCAAGTTTGGTGAAGAAATAGTGAACGGTTTTAGAGTTGTGCTCTGGACGCAAGCACGCGCACACGCGGACGGAGTCCATTTTAATACCCCCCGCAAAACCGCTTTGTGGGGGATAATTAATGAATCTACAGTAATTCAATTTCATTACTCTCAGCACGGAAGGAAGCCAATTTGTTTCCTTGGTACAAGGTTCGAACTGTATTTTAGTTAGCTTAATGCGGGATGAAAATATGAAGTATTTACCTAGAAATCTAATTAGGGTAATCAGGATTTGAAACCATGATCATAGGTGTCTGGTGTGTGCAAGGGATGTATAGCGACACACCCAGACACACATGTAGAAGATCATGGTGCGATTTGAACCCAAGATCATGATCTCTGATGTGCTCAAGGGATACAACTCTGTACAGCAACGAACCCAGACACACAGGTGTAGGATCGTAGCTGGATTTGAAACCTTGATCATAGGTGCCTGGTGGGCTCAAGGGATGTAACTCTGTACAGCAAAAACCTGACAGATGGAGAGAGTGAGTTTAGTTTACCAATATTCCAGCCATATCACGGCAGAAATGGGCTTCACATATTGTACCCATGTGGGGAATCGAAAGCAGGTCTTCGGCATGACAAGTGAACGCTTTAACCACTACGCTACCCTACTGTCCCTCAGCCACATGGATGTAGGATCACAGAAGGATTCGAACCCATGATCTCTGTTGTGCCCAAGGGATGCAACTCTGTATAGCAACTAACCCAGGCACACAGGAGTATGATCGTCATGATGTTGACTGGGATTTGAACCCATGATCTCCAGATCACAGTAGTAACATATTTGAAATATACATAACCTTATATGTATGGTCAGGCTGCCTGTTCTAAGTTCAGTGTGAACTTAAGTCATGAGTTCAAATGGCCCGTATTGTCTTTCCAATGAACAAAATGATCATTAAGAAAAGCAAGTTCTATGGATGTCAACTTCTTTATTGTGAGTAACACGTTTCTGAGTATATGCTTGCTCCTTCATCAGGAAACGTTGTGTTATTCACAATAATGAAGTTGACATCCATAGAACATGCTTTTCTTACGCATTCCACCACTGATATAATTATAATTGTTTGAATATACAGGGGTAATAGTCAAGTACCAGACCCAAAGAGATGAGTGCATATTGTGTATGATGTAGAAAGTATACAAATTAAAAGATAGGATAATGCTCAGTCTCTGACTATGCATAAATTTGAAATAAACAAATAATTCCTTATAAATTGAAAAGGAGCCCCAGTGAGATGAGGGAATTCAGAGGAAATCACGACTTTCTTCATATTTAGGACTTCAGCATTGCAGAAAGGGCTGAGTGGGTGGGAAAATTATACGGTTCAGGGACTGTGAGACAGACAAAGCACAAGATGACCACACTGGTGAGTGAGTTTAGTTTTATGTCGACTGAGCAATATTCCAGCTATATGGTGGCAGTCTATAAATAATCCAGTCTGGACCAGACAATCCAGTGATTACGCAATTGGGAACCGATGACATGTGTCAGCCAAGTTAGAGCCTGACCACCCGATCCCGCCAGTTGATTCTTACGACCACACTAGTGACTACTTCAACCTACAACTCCGGTTCCTGGTAATATTTTCAAGAAATTATCATCTGATCATTCAGAAACCTTTCATTTCATTGAGATCTTTCGTGATTCTGGCCTCTTTTAATGAGTCTGTAAGTTTTCATTATTTTTTCCAGTTCTACAGACAAGGTTAAGACATGTTGTTTTCGCATCATACATCTACCACTATCACAGATATTGCACAATAGTGTCCTTCAAACAGAATTCGACAATCCAGGCATTGTCTTCAAATATTACCCATTTCCCAAACTTCTGCATTCTAGGCATTATTTTTAAATATTACCAGGTACAAAAAAAATATTTTAATTCAGAAGTAAAGATTCAATTAAGAAACTCGAGCTCCTTAAGACTGAGAAGAAGTTCAATTCAATCTTTCAAGTTCTTGCAGAAGATATTAAAAAATGTGAAACATTTAAAACGACAGTGATAGAAGACTATCCACAACTCAAGTTCACATGGTATTTTGACCAGGTGAGCTAAAACAGCCCTGACATTGCCCTGCACACTGTGTATTGACCTGTGACTCTGCCCGTGAAGGTGAACCTATGCCAGACACCGGAGCCACACTCCACACTGACCAGTGTTGTCGGCTCACACTCGAGGCCAGTCTCCTCTTTGACCTCACGCTTCATGCCATCCTGTGTAATACAGAGATGATGCATAGTACCAGCAGGCCACAACATGGGGTACACACAAACAACATAGACTAACATATAGTCTCTCAAATGAATGTGTTTTACATAGACTAACATATAGTCTCTGAAATGAATAAGTGTTACATAGACTAACATATAGTCTCTGAAATGAATATGTTTTACATAGAGTAACATATAGTCTCTGAAATGAATAAGTGTTACATAGACTATCATATATTCTCTGAAATGAATAAGTTTTACATAGACTATCATATATTCTCTGAAATGAATAAGTTTTACATAGACTATCATATATTCTCTGAAATGAATAAGTTTTACATAGACTATCATATATTCTCTGAAATAAATATGTTTTACATAGACTATCATATATTCTCTGAAATGTGTATTTTTGCTGTAAAACTTTTCAGAGACTATATGTTAATCTATGTAAAACTTATTCATTTCAGATAATATATGATAGTCTATGTAAAACTTATTTATTTCAGAGAATATATGATAGTCTATGTAAAACGTATTGTTTCTAAATTATTTTGACAAAATATCATAAATACGAGCCCAGAGAAATTCTTCCATGTATTACCAAAATTATGGCCGTATTGTTGACTTGAATGGTCTGTATAGGATATATTTGTTTCAGGGTCAATATGACAGACTAAAGACAACATATAACATGAAAACTAAATTTCTTGAATCCAAACAGAGATGCATGGGTAATGTGGAATGAGTTATTCTATTGTTCTTATACCAGCTGGTTCAATCTTAAATTTATAAAACCATCTGCCAGCACAAGGCAACATAATGCTATATTAGCATTAGAGTAACTGATTTTTGTGTTTCTCATTGCCTAGTTTATTTCTGATTTTCTTCCTCAAATGTTCACTTTCTGACACTGTTTATGGATACTGAAAGATAGTTTCTCTCGGTAAATGTACCTCATCAGTAAACATGGTGTATGAACTGTCACAAATTCCAGATATTTTGTTTTCATATATTCTGTTTGAGAACAAAAGTTTATATTTTTGTTTGATGGTTGGTTGCTTAACTTCCCACTCTGTAATACTCCAGCTATATCATGGTCTGAAAGTAATTGAGTCTGGATGAAACGATCCGGTGACTGAACCAATGGCCTAGATCTAGGCAATGAAGATCAGGGTTGGAATTGATCTTCAGTAAACCATGCTTGTCGTAAAAGGCGACTAACAGGATCGGGTGTTCGACTCGATGACTTGGTTGACACATGTCATCACATCCCAATTGTGTAGATCAATGCTCATGCTGTTAATCACTGGATTGTCTGGTCCAGACTCCATTATTTACAAACCGCCACTATATAGCTGGAATATTGCTGAGTGTGGTGTTGAACAACAAACCAAGCAATCTGATGACAGATGTAAGTAGTCTTACAACTAGGTTCTCTCCTGGCTCCAGTCTCCCAGCTGGAAGGTACCAGTCTCCGTAACATGACCGCTTTGCTTCCTGCATCATCAGCACCTCATCCTTGTCATTGATGAGAACCCCACACACAATGTAGCCAACTGACAGCTTCGTCAGCGGCACAAACGATTCTGAAAAACACAATAAATGTATACATTCTCTCAGTGGGCCATTAGTAAGGTGTACAGGATTTTACTGGCTGAAAGGCTTGTACAGAATGCAGGAAACAGAAAGTTCAGTCAGCCAAACAGTAATAACAGGGTGTGATTTCGCTTGTATTCAGTACCTGTACTGGGTGCAACCTGGCTTATAGGTTGGCAGCACCATCAAAATTTTGGCAGCACCATAAAATAATGTTACTGGTTCTAAAAGGTAACATAAACACTTGTTTAGCAATTTTCATAACAAGTACTCGGTCTCAGATACATTCAACAGAATCTGACCTCAAGATGATAAATGATGAATGATTCTGTTTCAATTTTGCATTTCCTTTATTTGTAAATCTCAATTATATGATTACTTCTACATAACTTATTTATGAGTAAGGGGCGGTGGGGTAGCCTAGTGGTTAAAGCGTTGGCTCGTCACGCCAAAGATCCGGGTTCGAATCCCCACATGGGTACAATGTGTGAAGCCCATTTCACGTGTCCCCAGCCGTGATGTTGCTGGAATATTGCTAAAAGGGGAGTAAAACCAACTTCAGTCAGTCAGTCAGTCAGTATTTATGAGTACACAAATGTTTCTGCTTTTAACAAGTCACATGGAAAGAAACATGTTACTTACGGTCACGTTTTTCCCAATTAAAACACACAATGACAGCTATAAGATGTTGGAGGATTTATTGTTACCTGCACCAGGTGCAACCTGTTACTGAAGGTAACCTGCACCAGCCATTTTAACATGCACCAGTGCGGGTTGTAAATAGCGAAATCGCACCCTGAATAACAACGTTGTGCAATGAACCTGCGAGACAATTATCATCATGATACAATGGTGGCAATACAACACGTATCCCAATACTTTACAATTTCTAAAAACAGAACAGATATAATAGAGAAAAAGACTGAAACTTATTTGTTATACAGCAGAACTTGTGTTACATTCACACACAATTAAAATGCTGTTCATCTTACAAAGTTTCAGCATTTGATGCGTAAGAAAGTACAGTCAAACATATTCAGTATACCTTGATCTAATATATATATATAAATTTGAAACTGAAGTTTCCCTTAGGGAAGTTGTGTTTCTGCACCAATGCTTTCACAAATAATCCAATGTAATTTATATCAGAATTCTGAATCACTGATAAAAACTCTTAAGTATGCATTCTAAATTTTATCTTCTCTTTGTTCTTTCTTCACAAAGACATCATTCATAGTTGTTAATAAATGGTGTTATTTGTCAAACAACTAAAAGATATTTCAATTACTTGAAGACAAGTATTCTACAGTTCACAGAGTTTGAAAAATGTTCACACTCATTCACTTATACACAAACTCCTTTGTTCATGTAACAAAGATAGCAGACACAAACAAATTCCTACAAGGTTCAATTTGTTTTTAAAATTCAGAAGAATTTCAAAGAGACTCCCTTCCTATTCCTAATGCAATACTCATTACAACTTTAAGTAGTATTTAAGTAGTATTGGGATATATATCGTCTCTTGTGGCGATACATTGATGTAACATGGACCCTCACGATATAAACATCCTTATATATTACCTAAATGTGTTTTCTATCGATGCACTCATATCGCGTAGCTGACGATGCAAACATCGATCCTATCGATGAATCGTTACACCACTAATGTAAACATTATTAACTGCCATGACACCGAAGTTCCCAGAGACTCTTACCTCCGTTTTCAAGCTTCAGATGAATAACATGGGAGGCTTAATCGCTTGATGCCGGGTATCGTTATGACCTGTGACAAAATGCTTCATGCATATATTTTCGCATTAAACATCGTGTCCGAGCGTGAAGATTGAGGCGACGAGAGCCGAGATGTCACTTGTCAGTGATTTGACTTGCATTACATGATCGCACAAAAAGATGGAAAAAGTAATTTTATATGTACGTTTGACAACTTTTATGAATGCAGTTGTTGATTTTATTCATTAGTTTATTCTATTTATTTAATCATTTCCTCGAAACATCATTACTTTTCTCTTTGACAATGTTATTGTGGACCCGCCCCCGAAGCATGTGTCCGAGAATCGTTGTTTTCAATTACATTGCGAAAAATAGTTTATAATTTTAATTCTGCCGATAATATATGATCAATTGAAATTTAATAAGTGTTTCCAGACATTGTGAAATGTGATGGATTTAATATATGAATCATAAGTCAGGTAAGTTCCTAAAATTATGTCTCATTTTGACGTGATTACTGCCTGGCCGCTTAAGCGGCCTCCGGTGTCTGGGGACTCATCACGTTGTGGCCGCTTAAGCGCCCGCGGTGTTGAAAGGGTTAAACTTCCAACTTTCATGCAAAATTGAATGAGAAATCATATTTGGTCTCGCACGCCCGTTTCAACCTATGAGTATGATAGACTTCAGTTCTTCTGTTCTAACCTTCACCACAAAGCAACCTGAGCAGAATACAAGTCTAATCTCACTGATGAGTGAGCGAATGAGAGGGAGTGGTTTAAAGCCCCTTTGACCAGTATTCCAGTTCTATCACGGCGCGACAGCTGAACGTCTAAGACGTTTACCACTTTGGTGAAAGCAACAAGCACATGTACAGTCTGTTTGCAGTGAAAACATACTGATGAATTTCACTTTAAACAAAAAAGTAAATCGAATAAAGTGAAATTAAGATTGCGAATCCTCATTATTTTACCTTGGCAATTGAACATTTAAATCTCAGAATTTTTTTCAACTTAGGATAAATGTTGGTTAACAAAAGATCATAGTTTCAATCGGTTTGTTTTACCAGGGGGTATGCACATTAAATGAAACACCGAGAACATGTAGGTTTGGTCTAAGTTAACGCTCATCACGCACCACACGTGCATTTGTTTCACCATTCCAACTACTGCACTTACCCCCTTGTAATACAAACCAATAATAGCGATTTGAAACTATGATTGTTTGTTAAACAACTTTTATTCTAAAATTGAAATAAAATTATTAGATTTAAATGTTCAATTGGCAATTGATTTACTCTTTTGTTTAAAGTGAAATTCATCTGTACGTTTTCACTGCAAACAGACTAAAAATTAGCTGACAACCAATGAAAATTTATCAGGGTGAACTTGTTTCAAATGATCACAGGTTTCTTGGGAGACACGAAACTGAAGAGACCTTCCCCTGTGCACCGTACCTGCATCAAGTACTCTGACATCAATGTGCGACATTGGGACTGACTCTCCTCTCAGAAGTCTTCTCAAGTTCTCCTCCAGATCGTCCATCTCTTACCTGTCAGTTTGTGGTGAGTGGGCAGTCTTTATGCCAGTGAACTGAAAAATGAACCAATACTGTTTCACAGGGATTGGACAGGATTTGGGGGAATTTAAAATTGCCTTCAGTATTTCTTTGGGCTTATAAAAATACAATTGGTGTTTATTGGGGTTTTAATGTTTACACAAAGACACCATGAAATCAGTTCATAAATACCACGAATATGTATGGTTCAGTGGTTGTTGACTCCATAAATGTGCAAACACAGAGAGACAGACTACTTTTAATTTTAAAAATTGAGGCAAATAAATATAACCATAGATCTATTGTTTACATATTGACACAGTAAAAGGGCCACTGATGCAGAGCAATTTCCCTGGACTGGTTGTTGCTTTTGTTATTGTTTTTCTCCCGTGAGTACCCGGATGATATCCCAGAATTCATGAATGGTTCGTTACCTCTGCTGCGCCACCACCATGCTCAATTGATAGAAAACATATAGACTGATAAACAAAGATGAAATCTTTTTTACTCGATAATCTTGATGTTGTAAAATTATGTAGACTGTGATGAATAATTTGGTTTCTTATAAAAATATTCACTTTGATAAAAATGCTGATTTTGATGTAAAATTTTGATTTCATAGTAATGTTGACTTTATAAAAATGTTAACGTAAATGGATGTAGAATTTGATTTAAGAAATAGTTTGACCTTGAATTTGGTGAGAAGCCTGATATAATAGCATTGTTTGAAAGTAAGAGTAACTAAGTACATGGGGAGTCTTGGGGAGAGTAGTAAGTTTGGTTTCACTACTAGTCAATCTTAATGTTGTATTAAATGGCATTATTTTGATAACAAATGAAACATTTTAAGTTTAACCATCTGCCAGTGGTAAAAAATGTTAGGACTGAAATAGCGAAGTCAATGTACATCTTTATATTTTGTCTTATAATCCTAATTAGTTTATTATCATATTTGTATGCATAGTATCTACAGCACAACTTATAAAATGCACACAATCTGCTTATACCTAGTGAATTTATAACATGACTGTAATATCTAGACGTATATAATATTTCACACACACGCCCTAAGTGCGATCTAGTGTATGTTGTCTGTCTCATTACCTTTCACGGAAAAAAAATGCTTCTGTTGAATGCCATAACAAATAGATTAAAACAAAATGCAAATATTAAAATTAAAACAGACTAAAGTTACAGCAACAATATCAGGCTATTACCTTGTTAGGGGAATGTATCCATCAATATCCACATAAAGTAATGAGATGCCATTCATCTGCAGCTGACAAAGAATCCTGTTCCATGTCATGTGTCTTTTAACAGTCTAATATGCGAAAAAGTGATCTATCGTTTCAGGTTTTTCACATTGGTGTATCCCATTGGTCACCCAAGATAGCACACCTGGCAAGTAATTGCATGATGTCCTCCATTAGTTAGCCAATAATGAGCTACCAATCAAGGTTTTGGCGGTTAATCCTTTGAAGGAAGGACATTGTTTTTACAAAGAAACTTTACGACAAGGGTGTATTCAGTATAGATTAGTGAATCTACACATAAACACTACCTTTTGACAAATCCGCTGTGCAGGATAAGAGCAATTAATCAATCAGCATGTTATCTGTTAATCCTTTGATCAATGTTTGTTTTGAAACTCAGCTGATAATTCCTCTTGCTGCACTTCCATGAGCATATTACATAAGATGTAATACATTTGCCACATCAGACCTAAATTTATAATGATGAGTATTTACTTCAGACACAAGAAATGGGAACCTTTGTTGGGTAATCTGAGTGGTGTTATCACTAATTATACCTGTTATAAATTCATTAACTGACCATCAAGTGAATGATGACAAATAACATGTGTAGATTTACCACCAAACAAAGGTTACAGCAAGAGAGTAGTAATCGCTGTATTGCATGCAAGTTTGATTGTCTGAAAAAATACTTATGGGCCGACACTGTTTTGACGATACGAATGGATCAAACTTCATTGGTACATAAGAAATATATATAACATTTGCTGTGTACTTATTTAGAAACTGTATATACCTATGTACCTAAGTACAATTTCAGATTTTTTTTAGCAATGGCAAAGTGGGGATGTTTAGTTTATGGATTCAAATATATCAAATGTGTGTTTTGGATATCATAGCATACGTAATAGACATCATATTTTTACATGATTAAATATCGAGGTAAAAAACACAGAAATAGGATCAAATTGGATCAGTCACTATATACCATCCAAACATTTGTAAATCTGAAAATGCCTACACTGCTGGGATACTTTATTACAATCAAACAAGAACTACCGGGGATATTTTCAAATAACGGCATCTGATGGGCATCCACCCTTCCTAATGTCCCACTGATTAGGTTGAAGAAATTCTGCCAAGGTGGACAGTAGCCAAGTCCCCGTGTCTGTCACGGTCGAGGGAGCAGAGGCTGACCAGTTTGCAGCTAGGTTTCGTAATTAGACTGTTGGCTGGAAACATTAATCGCTCTGCATCAGTGGCCCTTTAAGTTTAAAAGAATCAGTTCAATACTCAAAGATTGTGCCAATCCTCAAGGAAGAAATAAAGTAAAATACAAAAGAACAACCACGAAAATGAACAATACATGCAAACTACTTCCCAAATCCAGAGAACTAATAGCAATACTGTAGAATTTCGCACACTCGTTTGCCTGCACAATATCCTTCATTTACCACCACAAGAAGTGCTGAATCTATCGTAATGAACTTCCTCTTGTTTATCTTTTTATAAAGCCATATGTTTCCGCAGCAAACGTTAACAGATGACAAATTCTATCCACGCACGTTGCCTTGTGTCGACCCTAACAATCAATGACAATAATGACATCAAGTTCCATTTCATGTTATGAATCACCCGTGCAGTCAAGCGCATTACTCAGAGTAGTACTCCATGTTCTGACAAGCCTAAAACATTGATTTCCAATCACAATTGGTTTTGTCAATTCAGTCGTCAATACCAGATAACTGACTCGACTTTTATGCAGCTGTCCCACGAGGTATATTTTGTAATCTTCTACGTTGATTTCGCAGACATGCCATGTATCGGACGGTGGCAGCTGTAAACAATTTATGTTAGTTAGAGTTACCTGCCCCTGATTTTATTGACGTCGAACACCACACATTCGAACACCACACCACACCACTATGTACACCACCAACATTCTTGTAAATGACTTAAGACCACATTGAAGTTAATGTTTTGCACTGGCGGAACCGGGGAGGGGTTCAGTGGGATCCGCCGCTGGCATACTTTAGGACCTGACGACCTAAGCTCAGATGGTCTCATAATCATTGCCTCGTGCAGTTCGCGAGAGATCATGAATGCAAGAGTTACCTCCCTTTCTTTGTTTTCGGAAATCGCGACAGCATTGTTCGAAGTTGTTTTCAGTCCCATGCAAAGAAGATGTAGATTATCGAACCTCATACAGTTTGAGAACAGCGGAACCCAGCCCACATACAGCTACGTTAGCAGAGACCATATAATAGAGGGACGGCCCTCTCCAACAGTTTATCACTAACCATCAGCGCTACGGCCTGGCATGTAACTGATACACATCGACACCCTGCTGCTAACTTCCCTCTACCGGTACACATGCGCAACAGATGCGCAGACATTCGCAAATGAGCACTCTGGTAACCACGTAAACAATATTGCGTAATATCCGGGTTGAGAGTTAATTCCCTTAGCGGGATTTCACCGGCTGCGACTGACAGTCAAACATTACATGGACAGCTCCAATAAACTGATTACAATAATCTTAATCTTTATCTTATCTCTTTTTTGCACATGTCAGCTGACAACATCGCTGAACATGTGTATTATTATTCGCGAAATGCGTGTCGTTATAAGCCCGGAATATCTGTTTTCAACGAACATTCGGCATTGCCATGGACGACTTTATTCACTGGGATGATTCCGACTTGGACCTCGATACTTTGCTTGGCGAATTTACAGACTACGACCAGGATTGTGTTTCGGATGATACTGAGTCTGATGTAAATGACAGTGCGGCTAGTGCTCCAAAGACAAAGAAAAAGACAGGACAAGAAATTACCACGGCTGCCTACGAGTGCCCCGAGTGCAACAAAACCTACAAAACTATTGTAGGTTTCCGAGGGCATATGAAGAAAAAACACAACCGATCAGACATCAAAGGTATAGTACATTATATATTGTTTATATGTAGATCTATATATTAATTTTAGTAATGTGTATTTGATAAAACACATAGTAGTAGATCTAATTGTATTAATAATATTTACAAACAATTTCCAAAATACGTAACGGATGCCACCGAAAAGATTTATCCGACTATTACACAGAATTCCAACTAATATAGTCAGGTAAGGCAGTTTTACAGTTGCCAATATCCCCGATGTTCGCTAAACGTATCATCGCGTAATCTATAAGTTTTACTTGCAAGTATCCGTTGGCACTGGCAGGTGTTTCACTAAATGACGCTAGTAGTCTCTGATTCTAATTTCATAATAATTCGCATATTTTTATACAGATGATAGTCCCAACGAAGCACGATTTCACATTATCCACGAGCATTAATGTCTTTTATAATGCTAGTCTGGGGCTGGTAGTGATTATGCTTACGCACGGAGACGTACTACGACGAACGTAACAATTTTCACAAACGTTACTTTTCTCTGAGTCCATGAAATATTCGTGCTATGGGCAGGAAGTGCCACATTTCCCAATTAATTTTAAAATTTCAGCATGCAAATGATGAGCGTTACCAGGTAAAACGAACTGCATCAAAAGTCAAAGTGTCAATTTTACCTTGGCAGGAAACTGCAACCAATACCATTAAAAAACAACATCACACGTTCTGATATGTACATGTATTTATAATAGAATAGGAACATAGATCTATATGTATTACTAAATTCAACCATTTACATATTCTTTTATTAAAAACACAGTAAATGTGAATGTCAACTGTTGTAAAAAAACTCTAAACTTAATTTGAAATTGAGACTAAGACTAAAGGTATACTAATGTTTTAAAATATTAAACATGATAACTTGTTAACTTGGTGCAACACAAACTGCGAATGAATTGTGAATGAAAACATAAAATCATACAAATCTGTACACAACCTTAAAATAACTTCATTAACTGATATTTTAGGTATCCATGAAGTGAATTATACATTTGATTATAATTTCCATAAAATCTTCTCATGTAATTTATGAATATCAACTGTTGTAAGGAAACTATAAACTGAATTTGAATTGAGACTAAGACCAAACAATATACTATGGTATTAATATATTACTGAGTGAGTTTGGTTTTACGCCGCTTTAGCAATATTCCAGCAACATCTTGGCGGGTGACACCAGAAATGGGCTTCACACATTGTACCCATGTGGGGATTCGAACCCAGGTCTTCGGCGTGACGAGCCAACGCTTTAACCACGAGGCTACCCCACCGACCTGTATTAATATATTAAAACATGATAACTTATAAACTTCTTGCAACACAACATGCATAGTTATGTTGTCCATTTAGGACTGATTGTGAATGTAAAACATAAAATCATACAAATCTGTACACAATCTTAACATAACTTCATTAACAGATATTTTAGATATCCGTGAAGTGAACTGTACATTGGATTTAATTTCCATAATTTCTACTCATGTACTTTATTACATGTTAAATTATTAGATTTAGCTATCCTCTTTCTTATTTCAGCTTATGAGCACAGACAAAAGAGCAGCACCACCAAGCCACACAGCTTCAAACCCGATGAATCGTCAAAAGTCTTGCCTCTTGCAAGTGAAGCGCAAATGTTGGACGCCTTAAAGGATGAAGTACCCAAGGCACTAAAATTGATCATTTGCGACCCCATGATGGATGCATCTCAGTCAGGTTCAATAGTTGGTGAAGATGTGATTGAAATTGCAAAATCCCTCAGTAGAGATTCAGATGCCATAAACGATTTTATAGTTATTGTGACACCAAAGTTACACCATGTGTTCAAGGGGTTTGGCCATGGGAGTTCAATATCAAGCGACCGAGAGGAACTTTGGAGGAAGTATCATCAGATGCGCATACAGGAAGAATTTATTTCAAGCATGCACACCTGTATAGAGGAAGTCAGCAACCATCACATCAGACTTATTCACATCTTCACCCAGTGTTTGCTAGACCGCATAATTCAAACGCTCTTTCACTTTCTTACGGAATCGATGAAGACAGCTGATGAGAAGCAAGCAAACAATATCAGTGGAAATGACCAAGCTGTGCTCTTTTATATTTCTGGATATATTGTCCACGCTCTTCTTAAAAAGAAGACAATAAGTGGCCAAAACATAGAGGCTCTCATCGATAGCCTTCAAACCAAAACAGAATCCAAAGAAAGCTACATTCGGACATTTGCCAGATGGACAGAAAAAATCAACAGGGGTGGCCTTACACTTCCAAGTGATTATTGCTTTCTTCTTGTGCGATCTATTGAAATAGCAGTCAGGAGTAAAGTGGATCTGTCCAACCTCTGTTCTTACTCCCTTCAATGTGATATATTGAAAGAAAGTATTTTGACTAACCCCATGGTCATCTTCTACTGGGACAAGTTAATCATGTGTGAAGAAAAACTAAAATTAAAACTTTTAGAATTTCTAGTAACTTTGTTTCTTAACGTGCGTGGTGGGGCTGTGGCCAAGTTTGTCAAGCGACAACAGCAGAAGGAGAAAAAAAATGAGAGAAAAACTAGCGAAGGGAAAAACAGCCAGTCACTCAGAAAAATTCTGAAATCAAGAGACAATTTATTGTAATCCTACACTATTTATGAGACTATTTACTGTTTGTGATTATTGACTGAGTTTCCAACACTATTTAGCAATATTCCAGAACATCATTTACTGTTTGTGATTAATGATAACAATTACTTATATGTATATATTGTGCACACCCATGAAAATCTGGGTTAGAATGACTCATCAGCAACAAGTAAAAATATATGTTACAATGAACATGTTCAACAAAATAAATTTCATATCATTGATATGTAGTAATTCAACCTTCCCAGTCTGCTGTTGTGTTTTCCTATATAAAAAGTCTTCAACACATTACAGTTACAATGCCATAATTACAACAGATACTTTTACAGAGTGGTACTCCAGTGGTATGGGAGATGGAATCTTGAGATGTATGGGAGATGGAATCTTGAGATCATAAATTTGTCTTTCTTTTAAAGTAAAGCACATTACACGCGCTTCTGTCTTCGTCTAGGGAGTGCTGTATCATCAACAGTCAAGGTAGGGTGTGGCCTCTTGTTTGATATGTTGCCACGTATTGGTTGAAGCACAGATGAACCAATGACCTTTACCTGTGAAAAGTTCTGTTTGACAGCGTAAACTGATGGATTGTCATTTGAGCCTCCTTTATGTCTAAATTGTCCAAACTGTTCTTCTAAAGGGTCCTGATTAAATCGATGAGTAAGAACAAATTCTGCACCGGCATCAAGCATGAATCGCACACATTCAACTATGGAATGTACAGATATTCGGAGTCCTTTCAGTGTTTGATGGCTGAATATCATGCGTTTCCTTTGAGTGAAAGTAAATTGCCCAGGCCGTTGCATAACACTATCCTCCCAGGCTTTGAAAAAATCCAAGAAGTCATTAAGAAGGTAATCCAGTCTGGGGTCATAAATACTGCGGTACTCTTTCTTATCACTGTTCCGAGTTCTGCTTCCTTCCTGCAAACTCCTTGAGTTGAGACAATCAAAAAATCGGTTGATATGCCTAATTAGGTTTACAGTTTCTTTGACTGGGTCCCCATATAGTTCCTCCAAAGCATTTGCCACAGAGCTACTAAATATTTGTGCAGCCAAGTTGACTTTCATGGCTGTGTATGGTGACAAATCTATATGGTCTCTTGTAAGCTTGTATGTCTTACAAAACAAGGCGTTTTCTACATGTTCTTCATACAACTTCAAAATTTGAATCCAACTGATATCTCGGCCATCCTTCCACAGATCTCTGGTCTTTTTGTGGGATCCTGAATTGGAAAAACAGTTTCTGGTTGTTTTGATAAGATGGGGAACATCTGAAATGAAGTACAGCTTCCTGCGTGGAAGAGAGTAGGGATTCCATGTCCAGTAGAAATTATTCAGCTGAGGATCTTCGTGTAAGCTGAAGAACTTGCGGTTGGGTGAAGCTCCATCACAGGTTACAAACAGCGGTTTCAATCCAATTGTTTCTAAATTACTAACAGCTCCCCAAAGTAAAGGAAATAAGTAATCAGCACTTATACCCCTAGTGGCAAAGGCTGCATACGGGTATTTCAAATCTGTCACAATACCACGGATCATGAGTACTAACATGGTATTTGCTAGTTGAGGTTTACTGCCTGTAATAACCTCCTCTTAACAGAGCAAATCATTGCCAACTCTGTCTAAATCGACATAACCAACCAGTTCACCAGTGTTTTTGTCATAGACAAGACCTTCTGACACTTTCACTTCATCCTGCAGAATGCCAACGTAGGATTTTGCCTCAATGTCTAACATTCCAAGTGACTTGGCTTCTCCTTTTAAATGTTTGGAATAACTAGGATGGAAGCCAAGTGAACTTGGAAGAGCATGTGAATAATCATACAGTGTCCTTTTGCTCGGTAAGGCTATGAAGCCTGACTTGCCAGCGACTTCATAGGCCTTTCGACTTCTACTCCTCATGTAGAGACACCATTTTATGACCATTGGATGCCATCGCATAGCACGTTTGTCTTCAAGGTCGCTGTATTTCTTCTGCTGCTCCCAGAAAAGTATCTGAATAGATGTTTCATCAGGGTAACTATGTGATACTTCATCCGAGTGTTCCATCAAGAGTTTCTGAAAGTCGGAGTTAGATGAAACAATTAGGTTAAGACCTTTCTGAGTAATATTCTTGGTGATGGTTTTCCGTAAACGCTCCATTTCAAGCTGAATGGAATTTCGACAACTTTTCATCATTAGGTACTTTTCTATGACTTCATTCTTCGACATGTTCTTGTGAGTTGTGTGCCTGAATGCATTTGGTTTCCGGTTTTTTTGGAGAAAGGCTGTCTCTTCTGGCATTTGCTCGGAGTGTGGCTCTGTATTTACAGCAGTGGCTACAACGGTCTCTCTGAGAAACCAGAAACTGACACTTCAGGGATCGGATGGTGGAAGTATATGCAATTCCATTTATGTTGGCTCCAAAATCTCCTTCTCGGTAGGCAGATATTGTTGAAATAGCTCCTTCACTTATGCCTGCACCAACTGGAATCAAGTCTGCAAATCTGTCTTCATAATTGCCGACGCAAATATGGTATGTAGAGAGTTTTGATAAAAGTTTCTTCACATCTCTTAGAGTGGAGAAAAATGCAGGTAAACCAATCCAGAATTCATGATTTGGGCCAATGTCACGTCGATGTGCATATATTGCTGCTGTAAAGGATGGCTTGATGACTACTGAAAGCTGGACTGAGCCTACGTCATTGTCATAAAACTGCACAATGGTAATGTTTTCACGCTTGTTTCTTGCAATTGTAAAATTGCCTAGATCATCTACATGCTGAAACAGCTCCTTTTTCAATGTTAAAAATTGCTGGTACTTGTGGTATCGCAGGATGCCATCAACAAATTCATCTACATTGTTGTCCGGATGATACTGGTGAATTGTGTCCAAAATAACAAAGAATTCATCAGCCGAACAACCATCAGAATCTGTCGCTTCTTCCAGGCATGGGGTATCTGTGGGTTCATCGGTGAGGTCAATGAAGAATGACTTCCATGCATTGTCCCACAGTGCATCTCTTGAACTGAAAATGGAGATACACAATATTAATATTAAAAAAATATTTTGAAGTGTTCTAAATAGCTGTTAAAATTATGCAATAGTTGGTTGCCAATGCTATTTCAAACAAGGTCTGGTTACTTACTCAAGATGGGAATATTGTACTTATTAATTTACATTATACCTTTTTTTACAGAAGAAAAGAAACAATATTAATATTTGATTATACAATTGCTTTGATATTTTAAACGTATTTTAAAACACCAATAAAATGAATAAATACCAATAACTACAAAATATCAACACAAAATTACTCTCTTTTTTTCAAAGACATCATTTGTGAATTTCTAACTTCCATTATTACTTACCTGCAATCGCCAAGAACAGTTGATTGTACTGATGAAGAAGAATGGTCAGAGAGAGAGGAAGAACTGACACCTTGCGAAAGCGGCTACTGATTTCTGGGCTAAAAAGGCACCATATATAAAACAAAGTATGACGTTGATTCATGTTTTATTTCATTTCATTATAACATCAGCAAGATTATATCAACATATGAGTCATTCTCAAAATCCGTGCATATTTATGTCAGATGTTTGTATCCGACAAACTTAAGTCAAAATCAAACCAAAAAATTTATGGTAACTAACTTATCACAATATTTTTCTACACTTTACAGTAACAAAAGTAGGAAACTATATTTTTATATTAACTTTACACCGACCAATTTTACTCAATGTTCATGTGTCACAACTCCAGTGGCTGATGTCACAGATGTTGCATTTGAATTTTTTTGTCTTTTTCATAAGCAATAAATATACAATTTCAAAACTCCATGTTATATTGTAAAACTAGATATTTTAATATATATGTACATGAAATAAATATTATCTTTGGATTTTTTCTTTTCAAAATGATGTTACAAATTTCGTAATGGCAGTGACACAATTTCAGGAAATGTCTAATAAAAATGGTAAAATATGAAAAATGAAACATCATTAAGCTTGCATAATATATGTTATGTATATTCAGAAAAAAATTATTATGTTATGTATACCCAAAAAGAAAAAAATCTCCATAAAACCAAAAACTAACAAACAATGGGTTGTTGTTATTTGCTTTATTTAACGTCGCACGCACAACTAAGGTATTTCGGCGACGGTAAACAATGGGTACATTTGTGCGTTTTAAAAACAATTTCATTTTGACACTGAGTTTGACACTGGGCGATTTCAGTTGAGTAAATGTACTTAAAACATCAAAGGTTGCGATGTTTTCACGCTAAATTGGTATGCCCTTTCCAATCACTGTCGGCACAGTAGATGTATTTACTATCTAAACATTCTGCAATCCGATTGTCAGCTATGGGATGCCCACTTCCAATCACTGTCGACACAGTAGATATATTTGGTTTAAGCACATTTTTATTTCGTCAAAGAAACCTGGATAGGCGACAAGCCTAGTGGCTTATATAGATGCAACTCCATTACATTGTTCCAATAGCTGGATACATAATTGAAATCATTTGACAACAAAAGAAAAATACTGTGACAAAATAACAGATAAATGATTGAATAATAAATATGTTCGGTATAGTGTTGGATATGCCTAGCAACGAAATGAGCAGCCGCAGAAAATCAAATATATAAAACTTGCCTTACATTGAATATATACGTAGATTTGATAATTACTGTAAGCGGTTACTTTTAGAAACGAACTGTTGTAATGAGTTCAGAATATCACTAATAGTTGAGTTATTCAATGCGCCGTTACCGTATAAAGTAGTTTTCACATCGTATCCTTGAATATATAAATACATCCTTTTTCTTAAATTTTGATAGTTCCGACATAATAGTAGATGTATTTATTATCAGCAATCCGATTATCTTATAACACACTAATTTTCCCCATAAGATTTTAGTTTGTGCCGTTTTCGCCATAAGATTTGTAGCCGTTTTCGCCAAGTCGAGGTTCCGTTATGTCCAAATGGTGCCGTTTTCGCCAGGTGCCGTTTTGTTGTGGTTTCCTGAGATGGAGATATTCAGAATGGGGTCTATATAAGCATGCATTGATTTTAGTCAGTCCTCACATATTCACTATTGCTTTTGCATTTTGTAATATGTCTAGTAACAAGTTGAAGCACGTAATGCACTTTTTGAGCGATCTTTACAAACATTTTCTATAAACTTATTCAGCTTCATCAAAGTTTTCCGAACAGCGCTCGTCTGCTAGCTGATGTCATCAATAAAAACAATCACGTGACCTAAGGGGTGAATCCCAGCTCTATTTTGTAAACTAATGAAGCCCGATAGGGTCATCTCTTAAGTTGTTTTTTCACTTTTCATTTCACGTATCCCGTATCAACTCTACATATTTTATGAACTGGAAATTTATGCTGAAGAAATGTGACTATTGTGTTAATTCTACAAAATCGTTTACTGTATTACAATTTATCACCTTCGTTATTACTGTAAACCTACATTGACACTCACGGATTGGCTGTTGACAACGTGTGAGATTTGTGACATGTGCTGTGCGCCCGTAATTTGATCTGTTGGAAATACCACGGAAACATATGACGTCACCGGAGTTTGTGCACAATGGCCGCCTGTCGTCCGAACAACAACGAACTTCAGAATGACAAAAGTGTTTTATTGACATTAAATAATACAAAGGTATGTCGTCTAACACTATGTTATGTTTATATGACTTGGCAATATGAGCGATCATATTCATAGTTTTAAATTTCTTAATACCACGGAAACCCATGACGCGAGGGTACAAGAGTTTTACAGAAGTAAATCAGCTAAGTGCAAACGAACTAAGGCCGTGTGTGTAAGACATCACATCTCGAACACTTTGCCAAGGACATCCCGTGTCATTTTCTTGTGTCACCTTTTAGGTCTTAGTACCACTGGATGTGCTTCACCTGATCGTGGATTTTTTACCATAGGAGAAGAGCGACTTACTGTCCATGGATTGACCCGAAACGTCAGTATTAATTTGGTCACTTGTCACTGTTTGAAATTTATGAAATGTTGAAATGAAAATGCTTGTTAAAAGTATTTTACTCAGTATCATTTTCCTCTTTAAACTTGTTATAGGGTTATAAAGATTTTAAAGTTGTGGATGATTTATTGCTAGATGGGCTTGTTCATTATTTATTAGACAATGGCCAGTTCAGATTTAACAATAGTGGCAAATAACAGGGTGGTAAGAAAAAATTGAAGCCTGGCCTAATAGTAATAAATACAAGGACAAAGACTATTAGGCCTGGCTTCCATTTGTTTTCTTACCACCCTGTTATATGCCACTATTTTTACCTCATCAACTAAGCCTGGATTAACAATCCCTGGCTTCCTTTTGTCCATCCACCCAGTTAGTGCTAATTATTATACCCCTGGCTTCTATTTGTCTTTCTTATCAATCATGCCTGGATAACAATCCCTGGCTTCCACTTGTCCATCCACCAATTAACTACTGGCTTCCTTTGTTATACTGTTGTGTTGTTGTTTCAACATGTACATATATAGCTGTTTGTTCCTAATTGTTTCATTCACCTGATGAAGGAGTAAGAACATACTTCAAAATGCCGTGACCCTTCACAATAAAGAAATTGTCATCAATAAAACTCTTGTCTTTTATGTTCATTAGAGGCATATTCATATGTTTATTATTTTCCATGTGTTATTCATAAGATGTAAGAGTGAGTGAGTTTGGTTTTACGCCACTTTTAGCAATATTCCAGCAATATCACGGCAGGGAACACCAGAAATGGGCTTAACACATTGTACCCATGTGGGGAATCGAACCCGAGTCTTCAGCGTGACGAGCGAATGCTTTAACCACTAGGCTACCCCACTGCCCCATGTAAGAATGTAATGTAAGAACAGTATGAACAGTTTCATGTGATACACAATGTCACTTCATATTGCTGGAAATGTATAGTTTTTAATTGTGCCTCAGGTTACAGAAACATATTTTAACCATGCCACCGAATTACATGAATTTCAAAACCTGTCATTGTTGCTGGGACAGTATATGAACCATCCTAAAGCATTATTTGTAAAGGGCGATGGGGTAGCCTGATGGTTAAAGCAATCGCTCATCACGCTGAAGACCCGGGTTTGATTCCCCACATGGATACAGTGTGTGAAGCCCATTTCTGGTGTCCCCTGCTGTGATATTGCTGCAATGTTGCTAAAAGCAGCGTAAAAGCATACTCACTCACTCATTATTTGTGTAAACAATAACACCCAATAAACACCCCCAGCTCTCTCTGCTCTTGAGACAACACTCTACTCCAGTGACCACACCTTGGTTGTAGGTCTATCACATGCAATGATGCAGGCTGTTCTCTTGTTTGAAAAAGAACACAGTCAGTCTAAAAGATGGATGTAACGCAATCCTTTCAGTGCTGGTTTGCATAATAATATAAATGTACTGTCACAGTGTGGGAAATAACAATATTGCTTTACAAAGTGACAGTATGGTTAGCTCCATATCAGCCTTCAATGCAAATGTATGGGGGCTAAATACGCAAATCAAAATACTTTTTCACACATATATATTTTCCCAATGGAAGTTAAACATTTCACGACATGATTGAATGTTTACACATAGATGTTTTAAAATTTAAGAATTTAAATGTGAATGGCTCCCCACACGGAATTCTGGGTAGGAATGTGATAAACTTCATACAACCAAGGAATATTTCAATTTTGTATTGTAATCTTTGATAAACATTTTCCTCTATTCTGCTCAAACTGACATTTAGTATTTTGTTACTGACCCATGATAAAAACAGACAAGCTTTCTCCACAGTTTGCCTCTCAAAAAAGCATGACTGGAGCTAGTTTATTCTGTTGTTGTTTTGGTGCAAGAAGCTTGAATTTGGTGTGAACTGAAGGTGTGATGCCAACATTCTTGAATTTATTGCATGCATTATTTAAAACACTCAGATTCATCAAAGTGCCTTCTTTGATTATATGTTTTCTTCTCAAATCATTATTCTGTCTTTCATCAACAGGCATGGTTGAGTGCATGTTATTTTCTTTCATCTACAGGCCATGGAAACAAATGATGACCTCAACCTTCAAATGCTGGTTGCTGCGCAACAAGGCGATCTGGATCGTCTAACCGAAATCCTGGACACAGGCATTGACATCAACTCACAGGATCTGATGTTCTCGGAGACGGCCGTTGTTGCTGCTTGTCGCTATGGTTGCACAGACATTGTCAAGTTTCTTGTCTCAAAAGGAGCAAATGTTAACATCCAAACCAAAAATGGTGGCACTGGCTTGCACGTTGCTGTGATCAACTCAAAGATACCATGTTTAGAGTTCCTGCTAACCTGCCCCGACATCATGAAAGATGTTCATGATGATCTCGGCATGACTCCAATCATGGTGGCAGCTCATCGAGGACACCATAAAGTAATGGCAGCTCTTATAAAATATGGTTGTCGACTTGATACGACGAACAATAAAGGGAAAGCTGCCATTCATTTAACCCAGCTGCCTTATCAAGGACATGTTGGTCATCATGATGGCTTTCAGTGCCTCAAACATCTCACCGATGCAGGGGTCGACATCAACACAACTGACCATGATGGGATGACGCCATTGCATTATGCAATAAAGGGAGGTAACTTTGCTGCTGTGAAATGGCTGGTGTCAGAAAACTGCGACCTTGACCGTACTGCAAATCCAAGTGTGTTGCAATTTACAAGGAAGGATGTGCCTCTCCCTGTTACACCTCTAAGTGTGGCCGTGTTTTACTTTAATGCGCGTGTTGTGAAACTTTTACTGGCTGTTGGACTGGTCAAGCAAAGATATTCTAATATTATCTCCTATTCAGAAAATAATTCAGAGATCCGGTCCTTATTATCTGAAATGTTACAAATACCAGAATCCCTGAAGAACATCACAAGACGGACAATTCGCAAAAAGAATTGGCAGACAAATTAAAACAAAGGTTGATCTTCTCATGTTACCAGAAGTTATGAAGGAATTCATTCTTTGTCAAGGTGAAATCAAATTTTGACTCATTTGTCAAGAGTCAAATTGTATCCCTTACTTGGAAAATCATCCCAAGATTCCGTCCTTATCATTAGAAATGTAACAAATACCAGAATCCTGAGAAACATCACAAGGACAATTAAAAAACTGGGGAGACAATTTTAAACCTGGATTGGTGATAGTTAAAATTTTACATCACATCAGCATTATTTCAGCCAAATAATGATGAGACCTTGATTGATATTGTTACCAAAAGCAAGGAATTCATTCTTTTGTTATGGTGAATTCAAATATTGACTCTTTTAATTTCATGAGTGAGTGACTGTTGAGTTGAAGACTGCATTTAGCTATATTTGTGGATGCATCCACTGCAATAAAGTTGCCTTTCCATAAAAAGTGTTCCTCTTCTTCAGTCTAATTGCGCAGATCAATGCTCATTCTGTTGATCACTGGATTGTCTGGTCCAGACTCTATTTACAGACCACCGCCATATAGCTGGAATATTGCCGAGTGCGGCGTAAACTAACCTCACTCACTCATGTTATTTGTTTGATGATTAACACAGTGACTGATCTGAACAAGTCCATACCATTAGGGCAAGATGCCATGTAATCAACCGAGTCAGTCGACCACCAGATTCCTAAAGTCACTTGTTTCAACCGGTCTGGGCTCTATTCCTCAAAGCGATTGCAGCACTACGCCAGTCATAAGGCTATGTTAAAGTATACGAGTTACCATCATTGTAACGCTACGATCGTTTTGAGGAACGGGGCACTGCTTGTTAGCTCAGAATCCCTCCCCCCCCCCCAGAACTGTCCAAAGCCACTTTGGTGAAATGGGCATACATAAGTATTCCGAGGACAGACCATTATGTCGCCCTTCATTAATAGGTTTTAATATAAATACTCAGTACACTCAGAAATTCAGTTTCCCAACAACTATTTTTGTGAATAAGAATACTCTCTACCTCCACATACCCTTTGTTTTCATTACTCAGTTCACACACTCCTTACCATAACATTGTCTATGAAATTATCTTTTTCTACATTAAATAAAACATCTAACTTTGTGATATGTTATTCAATCTCATTTTTTACTTTGAATGTTTACCATCTTCCTTCCGAGGGAGGCCGAGTATTTGACAAATGGTCACAAAACAAGATCTTTACAATGACCACATGACCTACCAGTCAAGTATCAGCAGTTCACACTGATGCCACACAAGATTTGCTTTTAAAAGCATATTTGATGGAAAGGTGGTTCTCATTAGTACACCTTTCCAGGACCTTTGCAAACCAAAGGTATGGTTGCTTTAGCAGCTCCGTTTACTTCATGTCCATGACTGAGTGAGTGAGTGAGTTGAGTTTTACGCTGCCCTCCACAATATTCAAGCTATATGGCGGCGGTCTGTCAATAATCGGATCTGGACCAGACAATCCAGTGATCAACAGCATAAACATCAATCTACACAATTGAGATACAATGACAATGTGTCAACCATATCAGCGCGTCTGACCACCTGATCCTGTTAGTCGCCTCTTACTCCAGTCCACAAACACTATTTCCAGACCCAGAACTTCCACACATCTCAAGATACAACTCTATGCCTTGTGATTGTACAAATAATAATAATAGTCCATTTATATTGTGCATGCAGTGCTACCCCTGGTCAACACGTACAGAACACTCCCTGTGGAGAATACAACCGGTTGCCTGTCAGGTGCTCAAGGTTCATATTCAGACTATCATCGGATCATACCAGGTACCCAATTTACTGCTGGGTGGACAGAGGCAATTTTGAACAAACTCACTTGTGAGACCACATGTGCTTTGGGGGGCAGGACTTAGTCCTAGAAACTCTCAGGAGTCAAACTGCTAAACACAGTCACCCATCCAAGACTCTCCGTAACCAACGTTGCTTAACTTTAACTGATTGTGAGCAGAGTTCTACGCTACAGGACCAAACACCACCACAAATACATGTAAAATAAAGATATGACCATGTTTCACAACCTCCAATGATCTTGAAAGCACCATTGGGACACTTGTACATAAACACTGTCATACCTGTTAAGAGTTAACCATATCTCGGAAATGCTAGTGTTGCATAGGAAAGGGGATAGGAGTTGCGACTAGACCCTAAACCACTTTCTCGGCAGTGGCTCAGTGCAACCATGACCTTGGAAGCAGGACAAAATACTGGTGTTGCATTAGTTAGAGTAGGATGGTGGGCTGGCCTAATGGTTAAAGCATCCACATTTATGTACTAGGCCCTAAACACTTTTGAAACCTCGGGACTTCTGTTATTCCCACATAGGGTGGTGGGCTATAATGGTTAAAGCATCCATTTCTGCAGTCCCCAACCATGATGTTGCTTCTGCAGTCCCCGAATATTTCTGGAATATTTCTAAAAGCGGCGTAGAACTAAACTCACTCACTCTGTAAGAAAAGTAACACAACCACAGAGTGATCGAGAGGTATTTGTTTATAGCATACAGTATAAAAAGCAGACAAAACATGGATGTTACATAACTTAAATAATGTCTTCATAGAGCAAACGTGACTCAAGTGACGTGTCCAATGACAATATCATTAGTCACCAAAACAATTTGGTTTTACTTAACAATGAAATAGCACTCTTGATGAAAGAAGTCCATTAGTTTCTGGGGCTAGAATACATCCAGGCCCCTAACACACCATACAATGGAGTCCTTTTGAAGATTGGTTGTTATCACAGTCACATCCTCTGAGACAAGGCAGACATGATGGTAATGTTGAAAACTGACGGCATGACTCTATAGGGTGATGTTGTTAATCTTCATCCCAGTCCTGATTCTGTTTGGGTGGCTTCGGACCTCCAGCAGGCTTGGACATGATAATCTGAAAGTCAACAATATTACAGTAATAAAAAGAGGCTCTATTTGACATTTCTTAATCACTTACAGCCATATACGACCGCTTCTTCCATACAAAAACAAGACAGAGATTGTTCGAGTGAAAGGTCTGAGCACTCGGCCATTTCCTATCAGCATGTACATGAAATCGCAGCAATGGAAGTAATGTTCAAATCTTGCAGTCATCTACTCTTCCCCCATGGTTCAACATAGTTAACTGTAGGGTTCTCACTATACAGAGTTGGGATCACAGAACTCCAGGCATTATACAGTCATTTTTCATTGTTTAACTCTTAATAGCAACTGACACACAATGTACTCTCTGGATCATTAACACTTATTAACTGAAGTCTAATTTTTGTCTTAACACATGACAAGATCTTTCACAAGGGAAAAATACTAGGTACTTCACAACTTGCCAGCATGCCTTTCAAATACATGAAGATCTGAACTGTTATAGCCCGATTACAAGTTAGTCATACCCACACTTTTTGGGGTGTATCTGTCAAAACCCCTAATGTTTGGTAGTGGAACCTCAAAGGCAGAGCTCCAATGCAAAAACTGGGGATATTGACCACTACACCAAGAGAGTGTGGGTATAACTGTCTCATACCCCACTTCATGAGAGTAAATATTATCATACATCTGTTAGAAGAAAGACATCCAATGAAACAAGTATAAATATTTTTATATATCCCCGAAACATGCCTGTAACAATGTTTAGCTTCCATACAATACCTGGTCTACTTTGAGTACAGTGCATGCAGCTGACGAGGCGAACTTCATTCCCCAGTATTTCGTAAGGTAAAGATCTATAATCCCTGCTTCCTTCGCATCAAACACGGCTGGACCTCCACTCTGAAACCAGAATAATTACTTACACTTCATGTTTTCCTTTGCAAGTTTGTTTCTATTTCTGCTTGGACATTTACTCTTATTCAGGCAATACAAAACATAATACTTAACAAGATGGAAAAAAGCTTGTAAAATCAAATGAAGAATTGGCCGTGAATTCTGTTTATTATACAAGCCAACAAACTCAACCCTTTATAAAGCATGGCATTGAAATTCCACATGACTGGCGGTTTTCACAGAAACATGGTCAGTAGTACCTGATTCTCATTCTTTTCATTTCAAGAGTGTTACATAGCATTTTCCTACATTCCAGCAGTATGAGACAAAGAAAACCATTAATAGCCTTCACACACTGCACAAGGTAGATTTCAAACCCCTAGTGACAAGCGTACTACCCCATCTCGCTTATAGCATGTCTTGTCCATTTACACTTACTTCTATATCCACACCGGTGGTTTTGCTGCCTTTCTGGTGAGCTGCATACAGCTTAGACAGAACTTCCGTAGCCTGGAATGAACAAATTAGTTCAGCTTCTACATCAAAGGTGACAAGGTACATTCGGAAGAATGAAGTGAGTGAGTGAGTTTAGTTATTTTGCACTCGGCAATATTTCAGCTACATGGCGGCAGTCTGTAAATAATCAAGTCTGGACCAGACAATCCAGTGATCAATGGCATGAGCATTGATCTACACAACTGGGATACTATGACATGTGTCAACCCAATCAGCGAGCCTGACCAGCCTGACCACCCCGTCCCGTCAGTTGCCTCTTGTGACAAGCTGAAGATCAATTCTAACCCGGACGTTTACGGGTTCAACAGCATGAGCATCGAGCTTGGCAACTGTGATATGATGACATGTGTCAATCAATAGATTCATTATGGGATCACATAATCTGACTGCACTTAAGACTGGATGGTTACCTCATATAATGTATATACATATATATACAATTAGTTGGTATTCACCTTAACTCCAGTGTTCTCTGCTAGGGCTCTTGGGAGGGCCTCCAGTGACTCTGCAAACTTCTTCACTGAATACTGCTGCAAGCCAGGTAAACTCTGAAGTCAAACTTCTTCACTGGGTGATACTTATAGTATCAAGAGCCAGGACTGAAACTCTGCTTTAAGTCAAATTCAATTACTCATTGGGTGATACCTGTTATAGTATCAATGTGGGGATATAGTATCAAGAAGTAGTAATAGCAGGAGTGGTTGCTGTTTTCTACCTGCCATGGAAGTAGTTCAGAAGCATTGGGGCTATGATACGTATTATGCAAGATCATGTGAACAATAGCATCACATATCATTCCCTGTGGGGATTCAAATCAACAGTCATGTTTTGGCTCCCCCATAATGGGTCAGGTTGTTGATAAATGCCATTTAATAATATACCAGCTATATGGTGGCTACCTGTAAATAATCAAGATGGGGCCAGACAATCAAGTGATCAATCATGGATCAACTAAGTCATCGAGGAGAACCATCCGATCCATTAAGTCGAATCTAAGGACCAACATAGACTGGCTTGGGAACTATCACAACAGGGAACAGAAAAGCATTATCGCATGAGGATAACTGACACAGATAATGAAGACATATGCCTACCTCTCCAAATGTAGTGATCTGCTTGGCCAGTTCAATCTCAGTAGCCCCTGCTCCCGGTACTAACTTGGCTTCCTGGAACAGATAGCATGCATCAGGCAATACATGACAAAGCATCCTTAGGATAACATATAATATTTCTATAAATACCCCGATTCCTAGTAATTCATGCAAACAAATAGTGAGGAAGCAAGTTGGATATTTGAAAAAGATGACAGCACAATATGAACTTGGGTGGAAACCATCCACTGGTTTACCATTATGCTGTGCATGCTTGTTTTCATAAATTCAGTTTGTTCCCTAATGAACAGCTCTTTCCAGTAGAACATTGCATTTTTACACAGAGACATCTCTGCTGATTATTTTGAGAAAAGGATGTTTGAATTTAGTAAAAGTTTGATGCACTGCAAACTTTAGGGCGTATTTTGAGGATGACAGAATACTATATGAATGCTCCAAGATATGAACACGTACCACTTCATAGATCCAACTCTAAAGAATTGAAAGAACACCAAATTTTTCATCTCACTATTGTGCTGCTAAAGACAGATGCAACATCATGAGAATACGTTTGGAGTTGGAAACAAATGTTGCCTACTCTTAAACTGTTTGATCAGCATTGTAGAAGATGGCTTGATACACCGAAACATTGCCTTATGCAATAAACACAAAGTTGTTATCCATAATGTCGTAATCTTCGTCATCAGAATAATGATGAAACACAAAGCTGCATGTGATGCTTGTTTTACTGATAACAAATCTGTCTTCAAGACGTCCCTGTCAAACACCACCATCCAAGATCGAAAACACTGCTTACCTTCGTCAGTGCCTTGAAGGTGTTGACTCCATCGTCGACAGCTCTCTCAATGTCATCCATGATGTTCTCTGTGGACCCTCTGATGACAATGGTGCAAATAGAGCTCTCTTCCTTGTCTACAGTCAACAAGAAACAGATCATGTGTCTCTTCAGGATAATTATCTTCAAACAACAAAGCATTTGAAACAAGTGACATCCTTTAAGAACTTACAAGCGAAGCGATTTCTCTGAGAACAGACATCACCCATCAAACGTATACAAAATCTCACACCTCTTAGAAATTAAACTTGGAGATTGCTGAAGCCGGACAGTGTCAACTATACACATATGCTTAAGACACAAGTCTGAGTGAGTTTACTCTTACGCTGCTTTAAGCAATATTCCAGCAATATCAGGTGGGGACTCCAGAAAATGGGCTTCACACATTGTACCCAAGTGGGGAATCGAACCCGGGCCTTCAGCATGACAAGCAGATGCTTTAACCACTAGGCTACCCCACCGCCCCCCCATATGTCTCTGCTTCAGCCTTTCCATGATCAGCAGCAACAAGTATCATAATTCAATACTATCTCACTGCAAATTCTAGAGAGATGAGAGATGAATGAAGGACTGACCCTGCTTGAACACTATGACAGGTGTACCACCGATTTCATCTGCATACACAAAGTCACAGAAACCTGTCTCCTTTGCTGTAGGCGGGGTCTGAAACAGATCAAGGATTAAAAACATTACTCCAAATATCAAAAACAGAAGTAAGAAGCTCAATTTCAGTATACCTCTCAAAGAATCACACACATAGGGCATCTATCAAGTTGAGATGAAGTGTCATAGAGAAAAATGTCACCTTCAATATTATTGCACTTGCATAGCCAAGTGTATGCATATGTTAGTATGGCTGTTTGTACGAGACCAGAATTGTGCTGGTGAGGTGAGGTGAACTTGGGTTTTACATCGTTCTTGAGAATATTTCGCTCATATGACTACGTGCATGCGTGTGTATGTGTATGTGCGGCTGCTTGTACTAGCCAGACTTAAGCTGGTTTTATAGTGCTAGCCCACTGAGATACCATGCCGCAGTGAAGCATGACTACCCCCCTAAGACACATTATACTGACTCCGATCCGACCAGTCCTTGTTGTACCCATTAATGCCGAGTGCCAGACACAGACCAACAAGTACCATATTTTAACGTCTTTTGGTATGATGCGACCGGGGATCGAACCCGTGACCTTCCGCTCTCCGAATTGTGTTGGTCTTATAGTCCTTGCCCACTGAGATACCAAGCCACAGTATTTCAAGGTTACACAACACCCAATCACAATCCGTAGTTTTACAAGCATTTTTCATAGGGAGCCTTCAGTGCAGACTGAATTACATGACAGCTGTGATTGGGTGATTTCGTGTAAGAGTTTTGTTTTTTTAATTGTACATCCATCTAGGTTGTTTTTTTACATGATGACTTATGCTGAAAGTGACCACTGGTATTTTCAAGCAGTTGACATTTTGTGCGGAGCTGGGTCAAACATAGCACCACTCACAATTTTGGGCAAAGCTGTTGCATTGACTGTCTTGCAGAGTCTCCTCAGGTCGAACTTGGACATTAACCTCACAGTCATGATCTTGTATTTGTTGCAGTAGTGAAGGGCAAGGTCACCCACTTTCCCTCCCGTAACAATAACATTGCACCCAGCGTCAGCTATTGACTTGATTTGCTGGAAAAAGAAATCAACATGGTCTAGTAAATGCTACATTAGAATGAAGCCTTGATCGACATATAAAATCATTCTGGATATAATTTCCACTTTACAGTCGAATTATTAAAGCAGTCTGTGGAAAAAAACATTATTCAAACTGTGTAGAGCAATCTGCTCCTTTTCAATTTTCCTTGCTGAAAATTATACATAATGATTCTGAAATGGATAAATCAACATATTTGAACAGCATTTGAAATACTTGCCTGCCCGACCGCCCGGGACATGTTATTTTCAACACGGACTGACAGATTCTCAAATTCACCTGCCCGACGGTCAGGTTAAAATTTCGACATGTATATGAAGACAGGTTATTTTCAGCACGGACTGTCAGATTCTCAAATTCACCTGCCCGACAGTCAAGTTAAAAGTTAAAATTCAGACATGTATATGAAGACATACCAGAAATGGACTTCACACAGTGTGCCCATGTGGGGATTCGAACCACTGGTCGACAGCGTAACGAGCGGACGCTTTAACCATTACATCTAACCAGCCCTGTGGTCATATGGGAGCAGGTAATTTCATCTACACCCTGATTGGCTGAGCAAGTTTCATCTGATTTGAGCAATTTCTCTGACTTTGCATGTTTTGGGGTGGTTTTTGTTTTGTTTGTTGTTAACGCTGAAATCAGCAATATTCCAGCTATATGGCAGTGGTCTATAAATAATCAAATTAATCCTGACAATCCAGTGATCAACAGCACAAGCATCAATCTATAGGGCTACAGTAACATGAGTCAACCAGTCTGAAAGCCTGACCACCTGATCCCATTAGTCGCCTCTTACGACAAGCATGGGTTGCTGAAGATCAGTTCTAACCCTTATCTTCACAGAACAACTTAAACATGTAATAAGTGATGAATAACTTTTCTGTAACCTATTTATAATCTTTAGTTACATCAGCTTTACTTCATTACAAAGCACATACAGAATGGACAGTGAACTCCTGACTTGAATCAATCAACAACAGAGTGACATGACTTCTACTGGTATATATATGAAATATCCACTTACTGCCTCCATTATGTTTTCTTCCCCTTTGCTGAGATTGACAAGTTCTTCCGCTGTCTTGATAAGAACTGTTCCCTGAAAGAAATAATCTGTGAAGTTAGAGTTATGTCCCTTTCACAATATTCCAGCATTATCAAGGTGGGGACACTAGAACGATCTTTTAACATTAACCCCATTGACCTCCTTAACATTTTAAGGGTTTTTTTGCTTCAGACAAAAAATTCTATAAAGTATTTTGATCTGGTCACAATTAACAAATACAAAGGTCCATATCTGGTGAACCATCAGTTCATTGACTGACTAATTTTACACAAACAGTATTTTAGTTACACCATTGTTCGTCAGATTAACACGACAGGAAAACAAACTGGTAACAAAGGAACAGAGCCAGTCTGAGATTCAAACCCATTAATGAGTCAGCAATATTCCAGCAATATCATGGCAGGGTACACAAGGAATGGGCTTTACATATTTTAGCATGTGGAGAATTGAACCCAGGCTTTAAGCATGACAACAGGCCACTTTACCCACTAAGTTACCTCACTGCCCTTAAAACCCACAATCTTAGGATTCTGTCATATTAAGACCTGCAACTTTGTAACACGAAATGCACATGTTCGTGACTTGACAAATATTGGTTAAGGTAAACACCATCAGCTTATCTGGAACAGTAGTGTATCGGGGGAACAGTTTGGACACATTGGCTTACCTTGGTTTCTGTCTGCATGATGTCCAAGGGGCAAGAGTACACTGCTATTTTGGCTTTCTCCATCTTGTTGACATCCCCCTCAACCAGTCGCTTGAACACCATACCTTGAACTATTGAGCTCTGTGTCACGCCACAACCCTACCAAACAAGGAGTGAGTGCGCGAGTTAGTGAGTGAATTTAGTTTTACGCCACACTCAGCAATATTCCAGCTATATGGCAGCAGTCTGTAGATAATCGAGTCTGGACCAGACAATCCAGTGATCAACAGCATGAGCATCAATTGGGCAATTGGGAACCGATGAGTTGTGTCAACCAAGTCAGCGATCCTGACCACCCGATCCCGTTAATCACCTCTTACGACAAGCATGGGTTACTGAAGATCAATATTCTAACCCGGACCTTCACGGGTACAGCTTAGGTAGGAAGCTTCCCTTAAAGGTAACATGCAACCAAAACATCAAACATAATTAAAACACAATTATCACTTCTTCATGACATATAATATGCATTGCCGATTATGAAAAAACAAATAAACAAAATTATAAGCGTATAATCGCAAATCAAAAGTGCAGTATTTTGTACTTGGGTTTACCTCCCTCGAAACGAAGCAGCCGGGAAACCGAACCCAGTCAGAGCGGGTGGGTGTGCACTCAAGTGTAACGGCTGGTTCATTAGCAGATGCCGCCATCACGGCTTATTGCGTGTGTATATATAGAAAGTTGGGTTTTGTAAATACATGCTCATTTTTTGTGTATAACATTTTGCAATCAACAGACATCATAACATGTCATGTGTTCAAGTATCACACCTGCCTGTCTGTGTAATTACATAATGTGACAGAGACCGAACTCGGGCCATAAATCAATGCGTTTTGTTTATGGTGTATAGCCTGATTGGTGTTAAGTTCAAATTGCATGTAGTCAGTGATCGCAGTTGTGTATTGAATATTGTCATTAGCAGACAGGCAGGCAGACACACATGGGTCAATAAAACAAGACATTGAGTTTTGTCTGTGACAGCGACATATCTATATCACAGTTAGAAATTGTGTCAACTCTAAATAATGACATTGCTTTTAAGTATCGAACTGAGAAAGTGACTCGGTAAGAAGAACGTGTGGTGAAATAGACAAATGAAATTATATAAACCGTTTATTTATTGTCATAACATACAAAAAGCTTGCGCCTGTGAGATATCAACAAAACATTATGAAAATAGCTCATACCAAAGCCTTCACCGAGTATTCACCAGACAGCCCGCCTCCCAAGTTCGCGCGAACCCTATTTCACTGCGCCGCGATGCTATGAGCGAGCCCAGCTGTTGAAACCAGTATTCCCCAGAAAAGTCTGGGGAAAATTAGTGAAACGTTTGAACTCCGATTTGACCCGCGCGTTTTTTTTCATCGCATTATTTTTCAACTTTATAAGTTGAATTTGCATTTTTGACGCTTTGTTTCGGTAAGTCCATACTGAAAGGTATCAGAATCTGCAAAGTTGTGTTTTACGTTGCATGTGACCTTTAATTACTGTGCTGCCACTTGAAACCTATCAGCATGGGTAGGGAGCTGACCAAACAAGTTTGCAGCATTATGCAGTAGTCAGGGTTTTTTTTACAGTTGTATCCATGGCAGCCAGTAAATGATGCAACTGAACCAGACAAACATGAGGCATATATCACTAAACAAACAAATATATCGTTAGGACTGCACGATATTACAGCAATATGCTTTTCAAACGATACATATTGCAATATTTTTTCTGAGAACCGGTACCGGTATATTGGGTAAATAAATTCTATGAAGTTTTTGTGATTATCTTTGTGGTTAAAATAAAAATCTACAGACGTTCATTTACAACAAATGTTTTCCTTCGTTATTCATAGTGTAATACTATAAATTGTATATAAAAAAAAGAAAATAGAATCCCTGACTATACAACCTAATTTTGAGATTGGTGTCATCAGAAACCATAACATATATTTTGTGGGACTTATAATGTAGAAAATAGGACTGACATGCACAAATAGTATCACTCACCGTCAAACACTTAAGTTCCCAATATATCGCAAAACGCATCCCAAAACATATCTCAATACGGGTACCCAAATCGCATCATATTGCAATACAATTTGTTTGCCAATACACAGCCCTAATCATTAGGTCAACTTGCATCGTCAACTACTTGGCACCCGATGTCAAGAGTGATTCAATAACAAAACTATGAAAATCAACTGACTGTCCATCATGGGACATCAGAACCATTCCTGATAAAGCTGGCACATGTTCAAGTTTAAAAAGGAATAGGATCTTTTTAACTGTTCGAAATACATAATACTGTGATGATTTCTTGAAAACAGCAAGACTTACCAGAATTTTGCTCACTCGGACATTATCAACATTAAATCCGCTCTTCTCGGGTAGAATTGAGACTGAAGAAAATAGAGAGAAGCAACTGTTAAAATTAATTTAAAGCACAATGAATCCATGACATTATTTTATCACATAATAGTCAGTTATGGAGCAGCAACAAATGACTAGACTAGATTAGAGGCGAGGAGGCAGATAATCTCACTGGAGAGAGATTATTTATCAATAGGACACGATGAAAATTGGACACTCCAAGGCTTGTCAAGGAGTTTCAAACTTTAATCGACTTGTGTTGATGAATCTGGTGAGTGAGTGAGTTTAGTTTTACGCCGCACTCAGCGGCGGTCTGATGAATCTGGTATTTGAGGACATGAATGAAAGATTCTCCATTAAGGCCTCCTGTTGTGATACAGTTAATACACCTATTTGTTTCTCCTATGTAAATTGTAAAACCTGCTACCCAGCTTTGGTGGCAAAGAGATCAGTCAAGTCTTACTAACCAATGACATCAAAGTGCAAATGACTGTAGTGTTATCAACAAATCTATAATACTAGATCTCACAGTCTCTGTTGAAAAGTATGGGTTACACTGAACCCATGTGGGGTATCAAGCATTCATTTGGCTTCAACCATATAATCCATTGCTCCCCTCAATTATCAGACACAGACAGACAGACAGACAGACAGACACAACGCAACAGACACCAAACAACACCACACACAGCACAGACAATAAACAGACACACACACACACACACACAGTGAGTTGGTGAATTCAGTTTTACGTCGCACTCAGCAATATTCCAGCTATATTGCGGCGGTCTGTAAATAATTGAGTTTAGACACACAGACAGACAGACAGACACACAGACACACACACACACACACAGTGCAGTTATTTTTCCCAACTCACTACATGCGTCTGTGATCAGTTCTGCCAAGAAGTCTTCATTGCCGTACTGTTTGCTCATCACTGAAGTCCGGACGACTTTCTTCACCTCCTCCTTGTCTCGGAGGTTTTTCACCTCACCGATCGTTAGGTCTAGCAATGAAATGGCATGTCATTAACCATCAATCATGAACAAACATGATCATTGAACTTTAGCTCTTATCTTCTAAAACTGGTTAAAAACATCACATTTACCTCCACAACAGGTCCCTGCATAAACACTGACAATGGATACAAACATTACTGCAAGTATCATGAAGTGTCCGAGTTTGTTAGCCCCTTTCATTAACCCTTTCAACACCGCAGGCCGCTTAAGCGGCCACAACGTTATGAGTCCCCAGACACCGGAGGCCGATTAAGCGGCCAGGCAGTAGTCACGTCAAAATGAGACATAATTTTAGGAACCTACCTGACTTATGATTCATATATTAAATCTATCACATTTCACAATGTCTGAAAACACTTATTAAATTTCAATTTATCATATATTATCAGCAGAATTAAAATTATAAACTATTTTTCGCAATGTTATTGAAAACAACGATTCTCGGACACATGCTTCGGCAGCGGGTCTACAATAACATTGTCAAAGAGCAAAGTAACGTGGTTTCGAGGAATTCATTAAATAAATTGAATAAACTAATGAATAAAATCAACAACAACATTCATAAAAGTTGTCAAGCGTACATATAAAATTACTATTTCCATCTTTTGTGTCGCGATCATGTAATGCAAGTCAAGTCACTGACGATTGACATCTCGGCTCTCACTTGCGCCTCAATCTTCACGCCGACCACGATGTTTAATGCGAAAATATACACATGAAGCATTTTTGTCAAAGGTCATAACCTAGCACGATACGTCCAATAAGTTCCATAATTTACATACAGGTAGCGATTTCTTGCTTAATATGTTCAGAATAGCATTATTTTACCCAAAACTTTCGTCTAAATCTGAAGGTTTTACGCTTTACGAGGGCGGTATCCATTGCCGTAATATGATTGGCTGCCTTAGGTCAGGTGTCTGAGTTTGACCAATCAATGACCCTTATAGCAGACTGTGGCAAAAAGCGTCATTAGAAACCAATCTTTATCCAATAAAATCGCTTCTTACAACTGTGAAAATACTCTTGGCAAGGGTACAGTGATATTGTTGATGTTCAGAGCTTTTCGAGCGATGCCCGACATCAAACGATTAAGCCTCGCATGTTATGCATACTGAAGCTTCAAAACGGAGGTATTTTCCGTTGTTATGTCATGTTACCGAAGCGAGGAAAGCCACAGGTATCGGGGAAATAGGCTGACCATACATATTATTTAAGAAATCTTTTATAATAATTTTCTGATGGCGTAAAAATGAAAATATAAAAGAAAAGGCACGGGGCATGTTATCACATGTCACAAATGGAAAAAATCGCCATAGTTTTTGCTTTTTAGCGTGGTTTATCTGGACGTTATAAATGTAAGCTTGCATTTTCATTCAAAAATACATTTATTTAAGTTGTAGTTGTATTATTTGAATAATATTATAAAAATAAACTTCATATTTATCAACAGTAGGATTAGATCTTTTAAATGGTGTATGGGATGTAGTAGCAATAACGTTTTACAAGCTTATAATTTCCTTCATAAACATAGGCTTCATCTATGACCTCAGGGTCTCTGGGAACTAGGTGTCACGGCAGTAAATGCCTCTGGTTGACTGGTGTTGAAAGAGTTAAGTGAATGAGTATGGTGTGTTAGCCCCTTTCATCAAAATTATGGTGTTTGACTTGTGTATTGTGGAGCACAATAGTGCAGTGGTAAGGCGTCTGCCTATCACACTAAAGGCCCAGGTTCAATCCCCCGGTGGAGGCACCTAGGTTCAGGTCCCGAGATGGGCACATCTGCATAGTATCCTTGGACAAGATACTTTGATCCACATTGTCTCAGTTCACCCAGCTATAAATTGGGTACCAGTGAGGATGTGCTGGCAATGTGAGTGTTTAGTTCACTGCGCCCAACAGGCAGCATAGCTGTATGATCCCCAGGGAGCTGAAAAAGCTTGGAAAATATGACAGTGTCCTATGACCAGGGATAGTAATGTAGATAGCGCCGTGAGCAGGCAATGTGCCTGGATATGAGCGCCATATAAGCGGACTATTACTATTGAACAATGCTTCAATTTAGTGTAAGCAGCCAAATCACTCAGTCACGCTGGGTACCAATGGTGGACTCACAAATAGAAAGACTGCTTTCCTGAACATTCCCTGAAAAAAACAGACCTCCTCCCAATACTAGATGAGATATCGCCATGGCAACAGTACTGAAATATCATGAAAAAGAATTCCAAAACTTACCCGGTAGGAACTCCAGCGCCCTTCTTGCATGCTATCTCATAGCCCTCAATCACTTCTGTCACAGAGAGACCCTGGCATGAAAGACAAACAAATTAAAAGGCAGAAATATTTATCATCAATACTGGTAACAAATGTGATCTTGTACATCCAAAGATACAGAAATACAGCTTGGAGCATATGACACAATTTGCAGCATTCCTTATAATACTGATAATGAGTGAGTGAGTGAGTTTAGTTTTACGCCGCACTCAGCAATATTCCAGGTATATTGCAGTGGTCTGTAAATAATCGAGTCTGGGCCAGACAATCCAGTGATCAACAGCATGAGCATCGATCTGCGCAATTGGGAAGTGATGACGTGTCAACCAACTCCGCAAGCCTGATCACCCGATCCCGTTAGTCGCCTCTTACGACAAGCATGGGTTACTGAAGGCCAATTCTAACCCGGACCTTCACAGGTAATACTGATCATGAAATTACAGCCATGAACAAAAGAATATCTTAAAATACCTCTTATTTTAAAAGAAAAATAAATCCTTTTGGAAAGTCGGGATTAAACAGACTATTAGCCACAACAAACAACCAAATTGTTCATGCTTAGAAGGGGTAATAAAAAAATTGGCCTTGAAATTGAAAGAAAGTCTCTCCATCATCCAAAAGACACTTCACTGCCCAAGCAGCTATGTTTCTCACCATTCTGAGAAGTTCCTCTGCATTCTCCAAGAGTGCCCCAGCAAAGATGAGGACGAAGTTGGTGCCATCTCCACACTCCTGTTCCTGCTGCTGGGAGCCCATGACCACCATCTTGGCAGCCGGATGTTGCACCTCCAGCTCACGCAGAATCGTTGCAGCGTCATTCGTCACAAACAGCTTGTCCAAGTGGTTGATCACCATCTTATTCTGACCTGTTAGAAAATAACCACTTCCATTATCACTATACCTACAAATTTTCTTCAGAACTAAGGTTTCCACAGCTACGTATCTAGAGCTATGGAATATTCAGTCGGGTACCATGTAATGAGTATGTAACAGTACCATAATGAATCCTTGACATCTTTATTGGGCCCAGATGCAAGTGAACATAACCTCCACACATTCATAAAATTCATTGTGACATTTTAATTCATTTTTTAAAATGAGAATATGAGTTGTGTAGTAATAATAGTGTAGATATAATTAGTACCTGTCTGCAAAGACAGATCAATGAAATGACTAGGGTGTGTTTCAACATAACCTATCAGACCTTTTATAACTGAGCAATAGATATGTTATGTGAACTGAATGTATGTTTCCCATAGTTTAACAGTAGTATGTTTTGTGTCTCCAGTGCATTTAGAATGTGCCCTATTCAGATCTTTTCAGAAAGTTATTTGTTGTCACCCACAATGTTAGACATAAAGGGAACTAAATCTTTTGAGATTTGTCTGAAGCAAGAACTTAAAGGGCACACAAGTTGTTTACTTTTAACACATGTAACATTTGGGTAGTCACAAGGACTCATCAATTTCATGTTCAATTTCAAACATGAAATCCAGTTTTTCATGACTCACCATGGGGTCCATAAGCAGACCGAGTTGTTTTGGCCAGTTCATTACAGGCATCAATGTTCTTGTACACCGCTTCCTCAAGGCCACTATAATGCTGAAAAGTAAGACAGGTGCCATGACATTTCCATTTCTTCCAAATTACAACCGTATATTACCAAAAACATGGTGAAGTCTGTCCTTATGTATACACATAGGCAATTGAAGAATATACAAACAAGGCAAGTGTGTAATGTTTGAAAGTCAATGACAAGATAGCTGAATATACGACAATGCTTTAGGCCTTTCTAGCCCATGCTGCAGCCAATAACACAAAATGATAGTAATGCATAAATTAGCACTTGAAATACTTCTGTCATTGAATGTAGTCTGTATTGCAGGACATGAACAATTGTTTATTGCTCAATGCCAACTCAACTGAAATGCTTCTGGCATCAACACCAATAATTCCCAAACATAAAAAATAATGCTTATTAATATTAGAAAATGGTACAAATATCTATACCAATACATCACATTATAATAAAAAAAGTGGCTATCCATAAAAAATCTTTTCTTTACTGCTACTCACCAACTTTTAAAATCATTCAAAATTATCAAATATTTGAATATAACCTTCCATGAAAGGTTTTAAATTTTTAATGCAATACTTTATCCACAGGGGCTTGTAACGCTAAAAACTGCCATCAAGGTATATACTGTCACTGATGGTAGGATCCTTTTGTATAGTACTAAGAGTGAGTGAGTGAGTTTAGTTTTACGCCGCACTCAGCAATATTCCAGCTATATGGCGCCGGTCTGTAAATAATCGAGTCTGGACCACACAATCCAGTGATCAACAGCATGAGTATCGATCTGCGCAACTTGGAACCGATGACATGTGTCAACCAAGTCAGGGAGCCTGACCACCCGATCCCGTTAGTCGCCTCTTACAAGAATAGTTGCCTTTTGTGGCAAGCATGGGTTGCTGAAGACCTATTCTACAAGGGTCGTATAGTACTAAGACCCCATCAGTGACAGTACATACCTTGTTGGCAGTTTTTAGTGTTACAAGCCCCTGTTCTCTCAAGCACATAAAGTTATCAGTAACAGCTTAGAGCTTTCATTTAGCATGCATTCCATAACCAGAAATCACTTCATAAGTATCACTATCAGTTTAGAATCTCCCATTCGTCTTACAAAGAAGTGGGTAGATGAGGAAATGTCTATTATATGCCTCCTATTTTGAACGTCGTGAAACAACCATTATTTTTTTTAATTTGGCAATTCATATTTTTACGGGCACCGTTAGAGCTTCCTGAACATGTCTGAGCTTCCAGAACATGCGAGACCATTCAGACGGCGTGACAACCACATGGCCGATTGTTTACGGTGGGGAAACTCAGACAAAATGACACAGCACATACGGATGGGAGTACGATTTCAAGATGGATGGTACTTATTGTCAAATCATGTATAATTTGAACTAAATTTACATACCCTTGCCCCATCTTTCAACATTTGGGCAAAGCCCGGTGCCTTAGGAACGTGCATCGCCATGTTTCAATGATTAAGTTCTCCCAGAATGCTCGGCTTCTTTCCTCAAAGATCGAAACTGTCTTCCCTAAAACAATTGTAATGCATGACATTTTCCCAGAGGCGTGAAACGGGTTTTAAGAAAATAAGGACGATGTCAAAGGGAAATGTAAGTAAAATTAATACAAATAATTCTTTAACATCAGAACAAAAACAATTATGTAAAGAAGAGTCTGCTGCATATCGTCAGTGTATGAAATAAGACCTGTCCGGTAACCTGGTAACATTTAGTCTGGGCAGGAAACTTTTGGAAGTTATTGTTTAATTTTGCCATTTAAATAGATAAATTATCACATTCGGGCTGGCTATTTTTCGAATTTATTGCATACACTGATATAGTTACTTTATAGAAAGGGGAAACTTATTAGTCAGTGATGATACCAATACGTTTACTCATTTTACTTAAAACATGCATGGTGCAACCGTATTTGTTATTAAAATCCATAATTACTGCGATGTACAAAATACGTTTCATTGTGTTTCTACATAAAACTACAAACATGGAATTACTGTTGTGTTGTCTGTGGGTTTGAAGTCGTCGCGAACTGTAAGTAAATATATAACGTTCTTTGTCGTGATGGCTATTTCCAGTTTAGGGAACAGGTCAAAATGGCCACCCGAAAAAATGGCCACACTGACCCGAGTCAAAATGGCCACACAAAAAGGTCAAAATGGCCACAACCTCTAAACAAAATGGCCATACCAAAAAGTCAAAATGGCCATAGAAAAAGTCAAAATGGCCATACATTATATTTTTCATATTATTGAGTATTGTTCTTGAAATGCATTCTTAATTGATACTTTGAGACTGTTACTTATGTAATATTTTGAGATGTTTTTTTTATCCTGAACTTTGAGGTGTTTTCTTATGTAATACTTTGAGCTGTTTAGTTACTCTCGCAATGTTTTCTTAATTAATGCTTTTAGATGTTATTTCAAGATCGAAGTTGGTAGATTCTCATTCACACTAGGAAGCTCTGCTGCCGAACTTGACACTTCTGATATGCATGTGGAATGTGGTGGTGTAGAAGAAATCGTCAATTTCGCTGAGATCGATGGAACTGTCCATTGAGGAAGACGGCAGTGCAACTGTGATCCAGGACCAGGACACCTGTACTAAGGGGCTCTTCACCACACTCCCATCCCATAGAGCCTGGTAAACTTCAGAAGGCACACGTGAAGATGAAGGTAAGATGCATAGGTATTTAAAAAATGACCACTTATCCTTTAATTGGCTCGTTAATTACTAATCAACATGTGATTACATACATTGTGTAACCTTAATTAAGATGTGAATTCAGAAGTGCCTCGTTAACTAATTAAGCCGTAAATGATCAATTAATTGTTAATCTCAGTGTTTATTGTAATTGTTTCTTATACTTTTCAGGTGAAGGAAGCAGCCATGGCAAATCTATAGTCTGTCTCACAGTCCCTGAACCACACTATTGTCCCTACTGCCAAGCCCTATCTGCAGTGCTAAAGCCCTAAATGAAGCAAGTCTAGATTTCCTCAGGTTCGGAATCTCTGGTCGCCCTGTTTATGTTTGATTTACACAAGTAATTTACTGTTTATTACACCCTTCCATTAAAGATGGTTTCCAATGCTATTAGGGACCGTCTTGAGGTAATTTATGGCTCGGAGGGTGATATGAGAGGGGGGACTAAAAATTTGAAATTATGTGTTCAATGGGGAGGCAGAACATGTGCTTATGGGGTGAGGTGGGGTCAGCAATTTTGTACATAGACAAATTATGCTTTGTACATAATTTATTTATTGTATTAATTGTTTTAATATTTTTTTTTATTTTTTTTATTTTATTTTTATTTTTGTATTTGGTTGGGGGGTCATTCACATTGTACATGCTTCACCATAAAAACCATCAAAACACACACACACACCCCTAGCCATTAAATATGAACGGTCCCTTATTGGGACTTGGGCGGATCTGCCAATGAGATGTGTTTTCCTGTTCCGCTTTGAAGATCAATTCTTCCCCACTAAAATGTATTTAATTCATTCATTTGTATTGTTAAAATTTCATAAAAGTGTATTTCTGTAATAATTTTGTATCATAAGCACGATCTACATGTGCGTGTTTAACCAAATTGCCAATGATTTGTTTTTGTTTATTACCCTTTGAAGAATAATTCTTCCCCTCTACGAAGAAAGGTGATCTGTTTGATTGGCATTTTAGAAGTTGATGGATAATAGAAAAGTATTATACCGTATATGTCAAGCAACGGTATAAGAAGCTATACCGAAACGTCGCATCATAACAAATAAAGAAGGTGTTATCCATAAAGTATTATACTTTTCTACGAAGAAGGGGATAATAATGTACCATGTGTTAAAATGCCTAAGAAAAGAACCATCCCCACAAAACAAACTTATCAAAATACCTTACTTACGACTGGCTGCAATCTCTGATTCAATTATTTTATGATACATTTTAAATCAGGGAGACTATCCCTGCTTAAATATACAGTATTTCGCGACATAAATTCTCATTTGTATTTTGAAGAAGAAAAATGAATTTGTGACATTTTGGCACGCGAATCGCAGACACTAATCTTCTCATCTTGCCCAATTCCATGTCCGATGATTATTGACTTCTGTTGTTCACAATAAATGCATAGTTGGACTTCCAGACCAACAATAGAAATAGACATAATTAACGAGATTAACAAGTATGTGGCATCTGTCTATCATGGTGTTAATTACTCCGCTAATAGCGGTTGGAGTGTAATTTCACCAGGGGGTAGTGAGCGGCCCTTTGTTGGCTGCCTAACAGTGCCTGTTTTGGTTCTTTGATTCGTAATGGGTGTTCTGTATCTGCTTCTGAACAAAGCATACCTAAAATTATATTCGTCGTTAACACGATGAACATCCAATGTCAGCAGACGTGTCTAAACCATGTTAAGTTTGGTTGTTAGTTGTAGGGAAATAGTATAATACATTAAGCGCACCTGCTTATTATCTCATAATTTCAATCTGAGTGTTGTTGTCGGTTCAGACATACCTCATATCTTTTGTAAACCTGAAAAACTGTTAATTTACAGTTGTATGCGGTGTTGAATATTTCCGGAATATTACGGTCGTTTGTGGCGGAATTAGCCGGACGAGTCTGACCCAGGGCGCATGTGCAAGGACATAGAAGCTGTGGAAGTACTTCCAGGACTGTCATAATAATTAGGAAAGATAAAATTAGACAAAAGAACATCATCAATCCACAATTGATGTGTGCAGGGGATTGAGGAACATGAAAAGACCGCGAAATGTTGATTGCGGCAAACCCAGACGCCCTGTGAAAAGGAACAAAATATCGGATGGTATCTATGGAAGGTAAGAACACGACTGTGTTTCAATATGGCAGTGCCAGTTTCGAGTCTGCCATTTTACGTAAAATGTCAAATTTCAGGAATCGTTCAAAGAAATGAGTTTAAGGTCGAGATATCTAGTGCATTTCCCCTTTAAGGACATAAACACGATCAATGCTACTACGACCAGGTCACTAGCGTTGAATACTACATCAAAGAAGCATGCCATCTCCCTTCCTAAGTTATGCTGAATGTCAAAAGTAACGTTTTGATACCTCGACAAATGCCCATATTTTGACGTTAGCAATAGATCTATCGGTAAACTGGCACTATCAAAGCACCAAGGTACCTTTGTCCATAAAAGCAACAACAGATAGAGAGCAGGAAATATTTGAAACAGGAAATAACTTGAAAATGTTTGTATTCACACACTACAATCTTTAGCCAGTCTTTATATTTGGTTATTTGTCTACAAATATATACCATTTATGGTTTCTAATGACAATTTGTAATGAAAATATCATGTCACTCACTGTTCTCCAAATATTTTGTCCTGAAATTACTAGCAGATGGTTTGTGCAAAGATGCTATTTATATCACAAATCTAAAATCAGCTTCACTTAAGAAACTGGCTAGCCACATTCATTATTGCAATCCGTTGTGACATACACCTTTTTGTATATGTGTATTCAAGGAAAGTGATGTCACTTGACTATTCAGGTCACTGTTGAAGGATCTAACATAATTCCTTTTCATGAATTGAAAACTACTAGTGAAAATAGGACTGTTACCAAATGTACATCAGGCAAATTATTCTTAAAAGATCTAAAAGATTTAATTATCCGATACCATTTTTGAGATTTGTTTAGCAACCCAACACAGAAGTGATCAAAATGTTGACAGTGTTTCTGTAAATGTAAAACCATAAACCTTTTCCTGGTCACCACTTGTAAACTTGGAATTCTGAAGTATTGTGAATTGTATAGCATTCTTGAAAGAGTGTTTTGAAACCTGAAATGAATCATTTCAACATGAAGGAAGCTTCTGAACAGGAAAGAATTACCAGTGGCAGTAGATATCGTGTGACTCATTTATATATAAGCTATGTGCACTGTTGTACCGGCAACAAGATGTTGCATTCTGAGTGCATACAAATTGAAAATGAATGCAAATAACATTAACCATGTTAACTGCAAGTGTATATGCTATGGTTTAACCAGGAATGTGTGAGAAATTAGGTCAAAACATATTTCCTTATTGGTTGGTTCATTTGTTGTTTAACACCGTACTGAGCAATATTCCAGCTATATGGCAGCGGTCTGTAAATAATCGAGTCTGGACAGACAGTCCAGTGGTCAACAGCATGAGTATCGATCTACGCAATTGGCATACAATGACATGGGTCAAACAAGCCAGCGAGCCTGACCACCCAATCCTGTTACTCGCCTTTTATGACAAGCATGGGTTGCTGAAGACCAATTTTCACGCGGTTCTTCACAAGTAATTTCCTGATTGGTTTAGTTAAGAATCAGTATGTCACACTCAGTCATTGTAGTTTGAATGTAAATATGCAAAATATGCACATATAGAACTTATTTGTTTATTTTACCAAGCATTTGCATGCGTTATCAAACTGAAAGCAAAACAGTTAAGAGTACAGTTTGTAAAGCTTTTAGATAGAAAGTAGTTAGCATTCAGTTGTCAGATGTTCCCTATTGGGATTCAAGGTTAGAATTGGTCCTCCAGTTTGTCAGGCTTTGTTATATTGGTCAAATGTGATCATATCCCAAAAGGATGCGTCATTGCTTTTAATATAATCACTGGTTTGTTTGGTCCAGAATATTTACAGGCCATCGTCCCTGTTTTACTGTAGGAACGATTAAAAAGGTCTGGCTAGATCATAGAGATCATTCATAGATGAATTGTTGATAAATATCAGAGATGAAATTATGACAATAAATTTTTAAAATTGAGCAAAAGAAATGTGTTACAATCACTGGTGAGTGGTGACACATTTGTGCATGGGTTACCATAGATTCTGAGAGATATTATCAATGACACTACTTTCATAGCAATAATTTTAATAAGTCTTCCTTATATTTTCGATTTTTTAAGCCAGCCTTACTGATATAGTGAGTGAGTGAGTTTAGTTTTACGCCACTTTTAGCAGTATTCCAGAACACTTAACATGTAACAGAAAATTGTCTTTTATATTTAGTCATTTACAATTCCAACAAAGTATTTGTTCCACTTGTGTCATACTACCATTATTATTATTACACCTGTAGAAGATGATAAAAAGCACTTATTTTCAATTACTTGTCAACAATAGCCACACTTGTCCACAACTTCACACCTGTGGCTGGTGGAAGTTAAACTTATTCACCTAACTTCAGTCAAACTGAAATACACATTTGAACAGGATTGAGTGAGTATGGTTTAACGCGGCTTTAAGCAATATTCCAGCAATATCACGGCGGGGGCACACCAGAAATGGGCTTCATACATAACATTGTACCCATGAAGGGAATCAAACCTGGGTCTTCTGAGTGACGAACATAAACGCTTTGAACCACTAGGCTACCCCACTGCCCTAACTGATATAAAGATCCTTGTAGTAAAACATAGTGTTTCCATATCACATGAGCACAACCTGTCTTACAGTTGAATTTTTGTAATCCCCTACTTGTATATTTTAACTATTTCCATATTTTGTTTTCTGTATTTTGTAAGAATACGTTTAACAGTACCATGTTCCAAATTGGAATTAAGAAAAATAGAAATATGACAAAGAAACTCGCTCACTCAGTTTCATCATCATAACTCCAACAAGTTCTAGAATATCTGGGGCGGTAGGGTAGCCTAATGGTTAAAGCATCCGCTCGTCACGCTGAAACTTTGGGTTCAATTGCCCCACGTTGGTACAATGTGTGAAGCCATTTGTGGTGTCCCCAGCTGTGATATTGCTGGAATATTGCTAAACCGGTGTAAAACCGTACTCACTCACTCTAGACTATCTTCCACCTCATCAGAGTCGTCACATTCACTCTGCCTTCAGTATTGGATATAGTATGCCTTGATTAAGACTAATTGTGTTATTTCTCTAATATCTAAAGCAACAAGACATAGCCACTAGTGGTGGTCCGATTAATTGAAATAATCGAAGATTGGTCGCAATGACTACATGACCAAGCAATCAATCATGTTTTCTCATAATCGAACACAATCAATTTTGGAACACTTGTTTGCAATAACAATATTTTTCACAAGGTTGGTTTTGTCTGTTAGATTTCATTAGCACTACAAGCTCTTCCAATTCATGATTGAATTTATTTTAAAGACTCCATGAAATTCATGTTCCTAACATGCTAGTCATCCTTTAAAGATGTGACATTTGCAAATGCATTTTGTGCAATTTGCAAAGAAAACGAAAAAGAACTACATGCAAAGAAAACAAGACCCGGTTCGAAAAGAACTACATGGTTTTTTTGCTTTATCTTTTTATCTTTTTGTGCATTAACAAACATAACCAGGAAAATTTGATAAATGACGCTAACCAATTATTTTCGATGATTGATCGGTTGTAATGAACCAATCATCAATTATGAGATTTAAACCAATTCTCAACACTAATAGCAGTGTAGGAAAGATAGCCCGTCCCAACGTCCGAGACGGGTGAATTTTGTGGAGGACGGGTTAAAAAAATATCTAGTCCGTCCTCATGTCTGGTCAATTTTAGCAAACCAATGACATATATATAATGATTATAACCTTTTTATCCCCATAGCAACGCTGCTTTTGGGGTATTAAAATGGACTCCGATCCGTCCGTCCGTCATCCGTCCGTGCACATTTGTCTTTTCGAGACAGAACTCTAAAGAACCGTTGTCTATTTCTTCAGAAAACTTGGCACATAGATTGGTCTGGTGGTGTACTGGTGCCTTTTGGTATTTCTGATTAAAATATTTTTTGGCATTTCCATAGCAACAAGTTGGACTCTGGTGGTTGTGTATTTTTCCGGGAGCAGAACTCTAAAACTGTTCACTATTTCTTCACCAAACTTGGTAGTTGGTATGGCGGTGTACTGGTGCCTTTTGGTTAATTCTAAATAAAATATTTGGCGTTTCCATGGCAACAAGTTCGACTTAGACTGAAATTGGTGGTCTGTTTCCGGGCAGAACTCTAAAACCGTTCACTATTTCTTCACCAAACTTGGCAGCATAGATTGGTCTGGTGGTGTAACTTCTGAATAAAATATTTTTTTGGCGTTTCCATGGCAACAAGTTCAACTTAGACTGATTTCTTCACGAGCAAACTCTAAAACCGTTCACATTTCTTCACCATTGGCACATAGATTGGTCTGGCGGTGTACTGGTGCCTTTTGGTAGTTTTGGAATTCTGATTAAAATATTTTTGGCGTTTCCATGGCAACAAGTTCGACTTAGACTGAAATTGGTGGTTGTGCTATTTTCTGGAGCAGAACTCTAAAACCGTTCTCTATTTCTTAACCAAACTTGGCACATAGTTTGATCTGGTGGTGTACTGGTGCCTTTTGGTAGTTTTGGAATTCTAAATAAAATATTTTTGGCGTTTCCATGGCAACAAGTTTGACTGAGACTGAAATTGGTGATAGTGCCCCTTTCAATACTCTCCTTCCACTTTTCTCTATACACACCTGAATATTTGACATAATCATAACTCGTAGACATAATCATGAAGAGTATTTTGCCATTGCGGGGGATATTGATGACTTTGTCTTCTTGTTGAATATTTACTGCCGAAGGTGTTTTATTTATATTTGGAGGACAGGCTACATTTTGGAAGGACTGGTAAAAAATTTGACCTGCCAGTCCTGTGGACAGGCTAGATTTTCTACATCTTTCCTACACTGCTAATAGCCACATCACAGGTATAATGACCATGCATTAGTAGCATCTTTGTTAGAGTGCTGGTAATATGGCTGGTGACAATAGTGGGAAGAAACTCCCATGACAACAATAGACCTTCCTCTTTATACGACTTCTGT